AGTCTCCCGCTTGTATATATCAATGTGAAACACGCCAGCAAACCTAAAAGCCATGCTTTCGAATAATTTCAACCTATGGAACCCACCGTAAATCTTACAGAAAGGGGTGCTGTGGGGTTATTAGTAAATGGGACAGACCCAAGTACCAAGCTATATGTCAGGGAACTATCCGCACTGGTCCTACATGCCATGCGTTTCAATTAATGCGGGACTCGTCAGAATAAGTTCTATGAGACCCCCCAATGCTTTTGGAAGACACTTGCAATGGGGATTCACAATAGGGCCCATACTTGAGTTTAAACGGTGATATGATACAGCGGCTTTGTGAGCAAAACCATGCGACATAGAGACACCTTTCCTTCACAGCACCGTGCGGTCGGAAGATATCACCGTTCCTTTATGTTGATAGGACGTATTCAAACCAGAGGCTGTCATGTAGAAGCTATGAAGATATGCGTATGGTGCGGGGAATATGGTTGGTAAAACGTTTGTACCCCCGCAACATTCAAGTTCGAAGTTAATCTGCCGATTTGGTCCCGGGCCATAATGGTAAAACTCTGCAAGTTTCAGCCGCCCAGACAGAAGAGCTAATCTTGCACAGAGTTGCACACATGTTGGCTTGCAAGTTCTATAAGCAGTACCATTGAACCCATCCACGGAAACATTCTAAATAACTAAACGAAAAACTGAACGAAACACGACACACACACACATGCACAAGATTCGTCCCATGTGGCTTTATGCCGCAATTGTTGTTTTGAAATCGGTGTGGGCATGTGCACCACATCTCCGTCACAGATACATACGGGTTTTACCTCATCATGATGTTCGAGCAACTCGCACATTGGGCTTTCCAACCTGCCTAGTATTAGCGTGCTTGGCGCGCGTGGCCTTCTTCACTACGTCCTTACCGTGTTCCTGTCCGCGTCTCCTGTCGGTATCCAAGGCCAAATTTCGATGATTTTCACGTGGGCGTTCTTGATCGATCTCTTCTTATCCTGTGCCGAGAGACAGGCCTTGCAGGCGCTCCTGCATGGCACTGGTGACCCTCCTGCTAGGAAGCGCCTCAAACGAAAACAAGTCTCTTTGTCAATTCTTCGGTGGGACTCGTGCTCGTAGCTCGGCTAGCAACACCCAGGCTGCCCGAGCCCCTTCTGACTTTTCCCAAGAGGGATTGGAGGCGGAGCAAGACTTCGAAACGCCGCGCGGCTCTGAAAAGCCGACGTGGCTTGTGTCCAGAGTGCGGAGCTGTCTTCAAAGCTGCCTCTTCCTCCTCACTCTCGGCGATGAAAAAACACCATCTTCGAAGCCGACATCCGACGTTTTGACGTCACCACTGTTGTCGTTAATGAGTCGTTAAGCAGCAAGGCGCGGTTTTCACACCGAGTGCAAGTTTGCCTCAGGCAGAACGGGACTGGGAGTGTCCCCCATGCTTCAAGGGGCTTCCTGAGCATTCTGAGCATCCTTGTCCGGACCAGGCGCCACTCCGTGGCTGTCGGCGTGGGTCACGAGCAGCGAGTACACAGAAGCAGTTCCGAAACCATGTACCGAAGGCGTTGGCGGATCCTGGATCTGAGGATCATACGTAGCTAGTAGCCTACAGCAGACTGCATCTAAGCCTTGCGCTTCCAAAGGGCCTTTGCCCAAGGGTTAGTTCCGTTGGAGTCGGACTCTTGGCTTACGCTGTGCACCCCGAAGGCGTGGCCGGAGCCTGCGCTTCGTCTGAGCTGAAGTCACGGTCAGAGGCTTGGGTGACCCCCCGCCCGGTAAGAGACTGACTCCCTGAGCTGCCTTTTAGCTTGCAGCCACGTGTAGCGCTCGTTCTCCAGCAGCTGTACGATGGCCTGTTGGTCCTCGGCCACCTGAGCAAAGCGGTCTGAGCCGCGGTCTTTGCCAAAAGACTGAGCCAGACACACACACACACACACACCCGTTTCCAAGTCTGTTCTGGCGTTTTCACCCAAATGACCTAAGCAAGCCCCAACTTAGAAGCGATGCTCTGCAGAGTCAAGCCACCGGTCCAGCAGTGAGGGTTCGCCATCTGCTGCAGCCACAGCCACCGCTGAAAAGTCTGAGCGATGCCGCCTGGCTAGGGTCAGGCTCTTCCGGGCCGTTGTCTCGATCCTTAGAAAACTACGGGAGATGGTAGTGCCTAGCAGCAGCAACGCATCGGAAAGCACAGTCCCCGTTTGCCTTTTGATCAAGGCGAACCCAGTTAGTGCGCAAGGCATGCGTGATCTCGTCCTCAGCGATTGGTCCTGTTCGACCGAAGCCTCGGGAGCTTTAACCCTTCGGGGGCTACGATCTCTCTTCATTCTCAGTTTTTGCGTCAGCGTTGCGAGACTCAATGGTTTCGTCAACATCTCCCTGCGACGCGCGGCGAGCATCAGGAGCACCCTCAGCACAGACCCACCGGCGTTGCTAGGACGAGCATCAGGATTGTGCTCCGTCTTCAGCTTTTTGCCTGGCCCAGACACAACAAAAACTTCAGTAGCCTCAGCACCTCGGTACACTGACCTGGTGCCTAGACTTGCAAGTCTGGCTTGCTTTGGTTTACGTAGTGCCACAGCCCGAGCTTCTCTTCAGCAGGAGGGAGCCCACGCACGGTCCACAAGACGTGGAACCTGTTCTTTTGCCGCCTACTGAACACAATAACTTCCTGCCAGCCTTGGTCAGACAAGAAAGTCACTACGTCCTCTCTCTCCCAGAGCCTAGGTGTTTGAGCCTCGATGACGATTGGGCAGTGTATAACGCCATCCGTTTCGAGCCTAAGAACTCTTAGATGATTGCCTCCACCAGCACGAATCTTGAGGCTTTGATTCCTGGTAGTAGCAGTGGCGAGATCACGACGAAAGTAGCACCCGGCATCGTAGAAACCTTGCCAGCCGGCTGGCACTTAGCAACATCGATGCGCACTGCCGGCTTGACTCGGGGCAGCTGCTTCAAGGTCTCTGTCTTGAAGACCGCGGAGCCTCACTTGACTGACACCTTGACTTCTGACAGTCCTGGTGCTCGGTGCTGGCCTGCGCCATCTGTGATGACGGAGAGCGGGGCGAAACAAGCAACAGCCGCAAACTGGTCTCTGAGGTCAAAATACTGTTCAACTCTAGAGACTACGACCAGGTTTCCAGCAGTTTCACTACCTGAGGCTAAAGCCTTTCTGACTCCAGCTAACGAGGCAAGCTTGACCACAGCAGTCCATTCCGAGGGCACAACCGCAGAAATGGACATCTTGAGTCCTGCATCCTGCGTCGGCCTGTTGGTCCTGCTGCCGTCAGGTTTGTCTCGTTCCTTGCGAAAGTCAGCTCCTGGAGGCTTGGAGGTTGTAGGGGTCCTGGACCGTGCGTTATCAAGAGCCGCAAACTTAACACGCCTATGGGCTTGTTGGGTTGCCCGGAGCCTGTCTGAGCCTGAGTACTGGGTCTGACAGCATCGTGAGTGTTCTGCGAACGCCGAGCTTTCTGGTTTGCAGCAAGGAGGGCCTTAACTCTCCGCGCGCCTGAGCTGATGAGCTAAAGAGTTTTGAGGCTTGGCAGCAGATTCGCTTTTACACCACGTAGTCAGGAACTTGTTAAGAGCAGACGTTCGCGCAGCTGTGCGACTCCTAGCATGTAGTCATTGGTAGTAGTCATGCCAGTTTTCCGCCAACTCCTCGACTACAAACAAGCCTCCGAAGTCTCTTGGAGAGTGCTCTCTTCCCCGGCTACCTCCTCCGGCAGCCTTTCAACGAAGGACCACCTGGGGCTGCTGCAGCTGGAAGCTTTGACTAGCGGCAACAGCAGACAGACGACTTCTGACTCTTGAACGAACTGAGGCCTGGTGCCGAGAGCAACTGCGCAGAGGAGACAATTTTTAACTGCCGCCACGTCCTGTGGCAGCCCGGACACCTGAAGTGCGGGAGGCAGGGCCCGCTTTGCCAGCTGGTCAAACTGGCGCTGCACACGCAAAAGAGTGAGCTAAGTCCTGAAATACTTGCTGCAAGACGGTGCGTCGAGCCTGAAATACTTGCTGCAAGACGGTGCGTCGAGGTCGGCGCTTGCGGCGCCGGCGATTTCTTAAGTGCTGCACAGTGCTAGCTGAGGCGTCAGCAGCAGAACTCGGCTCGTCACTGTCCAAAAGGCCCGTGCACCATTTTCTGTGGATCGCACAGGGTTTCCGCCAAACCGGTGATGCAACCAGCGCGTAAAAAGGAGGCAAAAGCCCTCCCCCGTGCCAGCTAAGATGCTCGCGAGCAGGAGGCAGTTGTTCGAGAAAGTAGGTTTCGGAACGATGTGTCTTGTGGAAACTAGGGCATGCTGAACAAAGCCTACCAACTTAGTCATACCCACCGAGTTAAGCACTCGGTTCTGCGTCGTTAACTTGTTAAAGGCGTACAGCCCTTGCGACAACTTGCCCTTGAAACTCAATATCCACAGGCAAAGCTAAAAAAGTGACCAAATTCCTCAGAGGTGTCCAGACACGAGTTCGTCCCATCAAGCCCGCAGTCACCGTCCAAGCCTTCCGTCACCGGGTCGTTCGCAACCAAGGTAAGCCATGGCGCGCGGTCGAAAGACTTGTGCTGTTACAGGGGGCACCGGTAGGGCCGGCACATGTCACACATGTGTATTCACATGCAAGCATGCACACCTCACATGTGTAGGTGTACTCACACGCATGCGCATGTCACAGCGCAGCCACAAGCCCTAGGTTATGCACACGCACTTTTTCCCCGAATCCGACGAGGTCCGAGAAGTGGCAGATCAGATCAAAACTCCGAGGGACCCGAGGCAGGCATAGCTCAGACAGGTCCGAAGATCGGTCGGAAATACGCCAACAGCACCAACCCTCCTCGGCTTGATCCAACGAGGGGTTTCACAACCCCACAATCCGATCCGAGAGAAAACAGTTGATCCGGGAGCCCGAGAGTACAGTCACAAAGCGCAGGTAATCGGCACCTGAGGCAACCGTACCTGGCATTCGTGCCCTGTTTCAAATCAGGGCCAGACGAAAGAGCCCGGAAACTAGTGATCCGACTTAAAAGCAAGGAGCTTATCCAGGATCATCCAGCTCGGAGTCCAGGACAAGGAAACTTCCCTTCTCTTTTCAGGGGAGAATCCTTCGAAATCAAAGTGTGTGAGCTGATCTGCCCACGTGTGTGAGCTCCGCTTAACATGGGAGACCTGAGCAAAGACACCCTTATGGAACTCCTGTGCTGAGAGCTCCATCAAAAGCGCCGAGCAAGGCCACTTCTTTGAAGATCTCTTGCTGGCAGCAAAGGCATTACCCTCATTATCTGTAGTAAGAGGGAGGTGCGCATCAACCATGCTGGGCCCCAAGGACTCCGCAGCCAAAAGGAAAAGAATAAGGGTACCCAGGAGTTCAAGGGCCCCAATCCGGCGCTTCGGTGAAGTGTGCACCAGGAGGGGCTGCACCCATGGTGTGGCAAGGACGTCCATGGAGAACCACAGGACCTCCGCCTTGGCCGGGTTCAGCAAGGGCGAGAACCAGCCACCAATTGCCACCCGGCCATCGTCCTCACCAGCATCACTACTCCCATAGCATGGAGTATTGCGCTGTAGACGGAGAGGAACGCAGGGGCCAGCATCCAGGATGGAGATGAGCAGAGTTGCCAGGAAACGTACAAGGTCTCCCGGTTTACACTTGCGTTCCAGCTTCTGTTCCCACGCGTAGAGCGGCTGGAGGTGGGAGCTCACCTGCGGGTAGGCTTTAGCTACCCACTGTAACTTGCCCAGTAAGAAGGTGATTTCCTTCCTGGTGTGTAGTTCCCCTGATTCCAATCTCGACAGGGCCGGGCGGAGGACTGACATCTTCTCTTCCGGGGCCAAGCGAAGAGCAAGTCGTAGAGAGTCGGGGCAGTGGTCTTCTTGTCAGTGTTCGCCCTAATGTTGTCATTGACGCCGATGACCGAGGCGTCAAAGATGGTCCTGATTTTGTCCAGTTCCTGAATGCCCGCCATGGCCCCGACACACAACTCTGCGACGTCGCAGGCACAGAGGTCCGCGGCCTCCTGTTCCGACAAAGGCCCAGCCACCATGTCGAGTAGTTTCTCTTCAAGGAAAGTTTTCTCGATGGCGTCCTCGAAGACTTCTGCACTGGGGTAGTTGTCAGCAGTAGTGGGAGCCGGCGGCTCCAGATCCCTCGGTGCACTCCCCAGCTCCTGCTTGGACGGCCATATATTCGGGTCCGGAAGCGTTGGGCCGTCCACTCCGAGAGGGACGCCTTCATGCAGGTGATGAAGGAAGTCCCGGTCCGGGTCCTCCGCCAGCTCCACCAGAGCTTGGAGGATGTCCAACGCAAACGGCTGCCCAGGAGGCACCTCGGCTGAAACGGGTCGTTGGAGCCGGGAAGAAAGGCTTTTGGCCAGTTGTTGGCGGAGGCCTGCAACCCACTGGTCTGGCCAGGGGCAGCCCCGCGCCTGGGTCCTGAGCGATTCCCGAAAGGACGTCATCGGAGAGACCCCAGGGGAATCGGCACCTGTGGCAACCGTCCCAGAGGTGAGTGTCTCCTCGATCCACCGGCCCAGCCAGGCCAGCTTGCATTTGCCCCTGTCTTCAGGTTTGAGTCTCCCAGGCTGAAGGGGCGAGAACGGTGTCCCAGACGGACAATCAGGGTGCTGGCCTCCAAAGGAGCCAACGCCGAAGCAATGGTGCGGTCTGTCCCCGGATGTGGAGAAGAAAGATAACAGGGCCGTGGCCAATTCCAGATTGAATTGCCAACCCCGGTCCCTGCACCTGAGGCCATCCCACTCCAAGGCAAGATTGCTGAGGACCGCCTGACCCTTTCTGCCCCTGACTGGGCCAGGACAGCCGACTCTAGGTACGTGTCGAAGAATCGACCAAGTCCTGCAATTAGGCCCTCCAATGACAGCCATGAGGTTGCCAGAGAGCGCCAGAGCACAGAGGTCAGAAAAGGTTCCATCAGGACCCGAGTCTCCTGGTGAGCGGGCTTAGTCCATGACCGAGACCCAAGGCAGCTCCCTCTGGAGCAGCACCACCCGATCTTCTATCAGCGGCAAGACCGCCTGGGGGTCTTTTGCCGCATCCAGCTGCTCTTGAACCCAGGCCTGCAACTGCTCGACGTCTTCATGTTCCACCCATGCGTAGTCTCCGGAGGTGCTCGGCACCGTGATCGACGGCGCCTTGTCGGCCACGACCCAGGAGCCATTGGTCGAGTCGACAAAGCTCGGCTCCGACAGAGCCACATCATGTTCCTCCGCTGGCACCCCCTGGGTGGGAGGATCGGCACCTGAGGCAACCGCGCTCCCTTCCCCAGGGGGCACGTCCACCATGGCAAAGTCGCCATCAGCAGCCTGATCCACCGTCTCAACCATCTCGACATCAACTACCTCAGGTGACACCTCCTGGGAGGGACGAACGGCACCTGAGGCAACCGCGTCCACTACCACAGGAGGCTTGCCCGCAGTAGAGGAATCGCGGCTGGAGGTCATCAGCCGATTGCGCTTGGTCTCATCGTACATGTCCAGGCACAAACGCTGAAGGATGGGCTGTCCCTTGAGGAGACCCACTGTGTTACAGGCTCGCAGTGTTTCGATAACACCTGCTCTCTTCACCTCGTCTTCTGATTGCTTGGTGACCTGGGCGAGCAGAGCCGTCACATCTTCAATGGCAACGTCATCGGCAGCACCTGCAGGTGCCGCCCTGGTCGGGATAGGGGCAACTGCTGCCTCAGCACCCTCCTGTGGTGCCACAGGGGAAGAGAATTCGTCAAGCTCGAAGAGGTTCTGTTGCATTCTTTGCACTGCAAGGTTCTGTCTGATCTGCACAGGCAGATCGTCATGCGAGGCACGCGGAGGAGTCGACATGACCAGCAACAGAAAACAATCAACCAAGAAAAAGACACCACGGGAACAACAACCCCGCGTCACCGAGACCCGTCGTGAGTCTGACCCAAAATGGCAGCCGGCCCGAGCAGGATGAAGAAGAAAGGCTGCTGGCTTGGCCCTATGACATGCGAGTTGATCAGTTCAAGCACGGATTCCTCTACAAGAGGCAGAGGAGCATGAGGAAGGCCATCCTCTTCCAAAGACTTGCATTCTTCTGTCCATGCAGCCGTCCCTGGCGCTGGACCTTGAATCTAATTGCATTGTTCTGTCTTTTTGATTTTTTACCCCTCAGTGTCGTTTCTGATGTTGTGTTTCGCCCCAGTGGGCTCGAGACTATTAACTAGCTGTTCTTTGGGATCTTCATGATTTCTTGATCTTCTGGACAAGCTTTGGAACTCAACTCGAAGTTGAGCCCACTGGCACCGCGCGGAGGCGCGAGTCCACAGCCAGCAAGTGATGCTGATGATGTTGGTGATGTTGATGATGCTCCTGCTGATCACGCTGATTGCGGTGACGATAGTGATGACGCTGGTGAGGGTGGTGATGGTGGACAATGGTGGCGATGTTGGTGGTGCTGGTGCTGGTGATGGTGGTGGCGGCGGCGGCGGTGATGAAGATGGTGGTGATTATGGCGCTCGTGGTGGCGTTGGTTGCGAAAGTGGCAACGGTGGCGAGGGTGGCGATGAGGGTGATGAAGGTGATGAGGGTGGTAACGGTGGTGACTGTGGTGATGATTGCTGGTATTGATGGCGATGATGGTGGCGATGTCGGTATTTGGGTCGGTGTTGGCTTTGCCGTCGTTCACATGGCACGACAACTATGATGACCACCTGGTCCAATAAACACAGCGGACTGAAAAGCTAGCGGCCATGCCTTCGCGCGCCACCAATCCCAATTGTACCGAAGATCATCCTCACAGCTGCGAGGGATTTGGTGCGATGTAATTTGCTCACCATGGAATCAGAGTGCCACCGACTGCAACAAAGGCCCACTGTTCATACTACACGCACTCTCCAGTCCCACCTCCAGTTCAGCACATCTTTCCTCCAAACGCCTGAGGCTAGGCTGGTTCCGTAATTTCACTACTGCCGCAACACAATTGAGTTGAGGCGGTGGCTTTGCAATCGACGTTTGTTCTGCTAGCTGTTGTGTGAGCAGCGCCTTCTCCTGAAACATGCAGCCAAAAGGGGACCAGTCTTTATCATAGCCCACACCCGGTCAAGTCTCCTTCTGCAACACTTGCAGGTCGTCCTCGGAAAGCCGAATGCACACGTAGTGAAAGCGCCAACACCGTATGCCAACACAGGCTCAAAAGCAGCAGATAAAGATCACAGACTCCAAGCACATGCCTTTTTACACCAACGCTACAAGGCAGAAAAGGCTCCCAGAGCTCTTCCTTTGGAAGCAGCTCTGTACTTACATGCAGATGAAAGTGTCATCAGTGGGTGCGGACGTGTTGCGTGCTGGAAGTTTGCTAAACCGCAGTTGCTGCTGCTGTGCTTTTTCTATTGCAGCCAACTGTTCTCCAAATTTTATGGTCTGCCGCGTCAACGTATGCAAATCCAGAGCGCGTGCTGGGCCATGTAATTCCAAGCATCGCTCAATGAACTCGTTCACGTCCACCAAGCTGTCACCATCTTGGTCCAGGCTAGCGAATAAACTCCACGCATCAGCAGCTTTAATGTCCGCTGTCTCCATCAAAGCCTTCATGGCCTCAGAATCGAACAGTGTTTCGAACTCCGTCAATGTTAATCTGCCATCGCCACTTGCATCAATCTGCTTGAAAATACTCATCATTAATGCTCTGAAGTCATGACGATCCTCCAGCTTCGCCTTCATGTCACGCTCTGCTGATTTGATGGCGGAGTTACAGAAAACGCCTGGCTCAGGATAAGGAAACAAAACCGGGGGTCGTTTGGGGTCCATTTAACATCCAACGAGAACCAAGCGACCAAAACAAAGAAGGATCACTACTAAGATTTACCAAGACTCCAGTCATTACCTTCGCAAGCTGGGGGAAGACATGACGATTTAACTCCATGCTCGACCCTTTTCTGTTGATGAAAAAAGCAAAGATTGGAACCTGAACTGTTGCGTGTGATTTTGCAGAAGTTTGCTCATGGCACACAGCCAGTGTTGCAGAACGGCTTCAGCTTGGCAATTGCTTGAATTGACTCAAGGCTGCAACACACTAACCCTTCAGAACAATTTTAATGGGCTACCGGCTACCCCGCATCAATGAAGAAGGTGTTTCATAAGCAGAGGACTTGTCAACAAAAACGAAGTGCTCGGCAATGCATCGGATTGTCAGACCAGGTTCTCGTTTCTGGTGTTAGTCAGGTTTGAGGGAAATTCATCAGCCCGACCTTCACGCGTGCAGGCAAGCTGCGTTCAATACAGCGAAGGATACGAAAGCCACGTAAAAGTGAAAAATTTGAACCCACAACACTCCAACAGGGTTTAGGCTCTCTGCGGCATTGTCCCAATCAAGACCACCTGAAATAGCCCGGAAGAGCGTGGCGGCAGAATTGTATAGGGATCCAAAATATTTCATCAGATTGACATCAATTTCACCATTCTCCTGGAAGTTCTCCTGCACATATTCCAAGGCAATGTCGGTAAACAGAATACCTTGGTGGCACACATCATGCTCTTAGTGCTGACTTGGCCACTCAGCTCAACAATCCTAATCCGCAAAGGCTGCTTCAGTGCGGTATCGTTGCCAAACACATAGATAATCAGAAAGAGGAGGAGCAATGCCCAGAACAGTGACCGCAGCGTGTCCACCAATGAGGCCACTAATGTCCTGAGAGCCCCGATGAATCGAATGACCCAAACAGTCCGCAGGATCCGAAGAAGCCTGGAGGCTCGGATAATTCGAACCATCCGTATGCTGGAACTCACTCCTGCATCGCTGCCCTCATAAACGAAGTCAATCACGATGGCCGTCCACGATGAAACAACCACGGCCACATCCAGCCAATTCCATGCCCAGTCTGAACCGCAAGCGTATTCTCCGGGTCCAGCCGCAAATAAGCGCAGGATAACTTCCAAAGAGAAGACAATGCCATAGGTCAACTGAACAGGTAGGGTGGAGGCCTGTGTTGGTGGGAATCTTGGGTCCATGGTCTCAACACGTATGCCCAAATAGACCGCGTTCGAGATGATAACAAGAGCAAAGAACAAGTCAAAAATGGGGTGGCTTACCAAAGACCTGACCATCTGCCGAAGGGAAGACAGCTGGGAGAGCTGGCGTTTCAAATTGATGGACTCCTTCTTGAACCGGATCTTCTTGTGAAAATGGAAACGAGATCCTTTGGACTTTGCGTGTTGGTAACTTGCCGACATGTAACTGTGTCCTGCGCTGGCTGTCTCGGACGTGCGGCGAGAGTGGGAAGCGCTCTTGACCTCTGTCAGGTCTGTGGAACCTTCCCCTCCGTCAGCGCCCTCCCTGCCCTTGTGAAAGTCTGCATGCAGCAATCGCAACTCGATCTCCGCCTCAAGGTCGTTGACCCAGGCACGCACCTGCTCCAATAAGTGCTCCCGACGGTGCCGAAGCACTTCGTCCACCAAGTCGACAACTTTGGTGTTGGGCATGGCAAGCTAAGATGCAGCGCTGAAAACACCCCTGAGCTTTAAAACCTCTCTAGCTGCGGCAGCCAAATCAGTCGCAGCAAAGATGTGGAGGGAGCGAGGGAAGCAGCGACCGGGAGGGGAGAGCGAGGTGCTAGAGAGAGGCAAAGAGAGAAGGACACAGAGAGAGAGAGAGAGAGAGAGAAAGAGAGACAGCAAGCGGCGTTCATGTCTGCCACACGCGCAACACAGCTCAGGCAGTGTGGCCTCCAGTCGCGCACATTTTTGTCGCCTCAACACCAGCAATCAAAGCGGTGTGCCGCCTTGGCCTTGGCCGCTTTGAGTCCCGAACCAACTGAAGCCTCGGAGGAAGTCGAGCCAAGCCTGTAGGCAAAAAGGTTGCTTGAAGTGGAAGAAGACTGAAGCGCTAGGGCCAACACAAAGCTCAAGCTCCAGCTTCGAAGCATGTCGATGCAGATCTGCTACTTTGTACTTACATTCAGTCATCCTGCAAGATGGTCTTCTTGGCCGACGCAGTAGTTGTTGTCGGGGGTGGCTCTTGCGGTGGTGGTGCTGGTGGTCGCAGCGCTGGAATAGTTACAGTCCTTAGTGGCCTTATGGATGTCATTATTACTGCATGCTGCTGACGCTCCCGCCGTGCGAGCACATCCGTGTGGTTACTGTTGCTGCTGCTGCCGTTGTGGATGAAGTCTTTGTCTTCTTGTCTGCTGCCTTGAGCCGCAGTGAGCTATCCGCGAAACTTTACCGATTCGAACAGCGTGATACTGCAGATCACATGCACGTCCTGCAGCAGCAGTTTCTGTTTTGTTCTTAGCGGTCCAACGGCATGTGTTGGCACTAGGAAGGAGCGAACGAGCTTGTTTGGCTCTATGTTCATGTGGGTTTGGTAACCGGTGCGACACGGTAGGACCATGCAGGACCGCACGAAGGCCGCCCGTAGCGTTGACTAATATCATATCTACAAAAGGCCTTTGCAACACTTGGACTCCTTGCGGGGCTTCCTTCTTGGCGGCTGCGGGTGCCTCTCACAAAGACTTCAGTGGGGGGCACAACCCTGCAACAGTTCAGTCCAACTAACAGCCAAGCAAGGCAGAGCACAAAGATTGCAAGTCAACTCTGCTCCAGCTTTGGCAGAGAAAGCGTCTTGTGGCTTTAGACCGCAAGCTGTGCACCGGAACTAGCTATCATGCATCACACAGAAGGGCTTTTCTCCAGTCTACCTCGGCCACTGCAGGAGAATGCAACAAACAGATGCAGCTGCCGCTTAATTCAAACAAGGCGCGGCTCTTATTTGAGTACCAATTCTGCAAAGATCGGACGATGGTCGCTATGCGCAGCGTCTCCAGTACCATGCCGGGCCAATTCCCAGTGATGCGAGTAGAAGATGCAGTCCACCCAAGCATTTTCAGCCTCGGTACACAAGGTGCGCTGCTTGTGCGACGTCAACACCACTCGATGCGGACCTGTCATCATCACGCATGCAAAGGTGTGACCCCTTCAGCTGCTTTGCTCTTCCAGTCCCGAATGCAAAGGAGTCCCAGTCCCGAACCCGGAGTCAAAGTCTTTCAACCGACGTGACAAGAACAAGCGCCGTTCCGAGTGCTTGCTGCTTGGGAGCGAGTTTAAAGCCGTTCTTGAGGAAATGCTGAGGTCCCCTCTCGTCCAGATTTGCCTCTAGAGTTGCAGAAGGTCTGTGCACGCCACCTATACTAAGCTCCCCTCAGCTTCACGCGTTGAAGTCCCCTGTGATAACCACCGGCATGTCAGAAGCCTTTCAGGCACTCGGAGGGGTACGGTAAACAGTTCTACAAGCTGACAAGGCCCGTCTAGCCGCGGCCTTCTCCTTGATGACCTTAGCCACAACTTTGATCGCGTTTTTTGCAACTCAGCGTTACAAGTGTTCAAACAGCTGAGGGGCAAACATCTAGCATGTGTTTGGCACCACCGTATCGAACCTCTTCATTGCAAACCCGGCCGTTGCCATTGTGTACACACCTGAGCTGCCAGACGATCCAGAAAAACCCTGCAGAGCCTGTCAGCCCCAACTGCCACTGCAGCGAAAGGTACCAGTGGGTGTTGAAGTGCCAGAAAGTCCGATCACTCTTCGGGTCGATCAACTCCACCCAAGTCACGTAGCGCGGACCCCATTTGCCGGTGGCCTGGCCGAGGCGCAGCGGCCCGCTACAACCGGCAGCCTGGCAGAATCTGGCCCTGGCCTGAATGTCTCTTGACCCAGAGTCGCCTTTCCTGAAGGCGCCTGCAGAACAGAGCACCGGGCAGAGGGCAGAGGACCGAGGACCGGCCGGCGGACCGGCGGACCGGCGGACCTGGCCTGGCTTGACCATGATGCCCTGGGCGCCATCGAACTTCGAGGCTCGCTCCAGCCCTGCCCTGTCTCGGATGGTGTGAGGCTCATCGCACTCCTGCGCTTGAGCGGCTGCAGAGTCTCCTTTCGGACTCTCTCTCACCCTTCGGAGGCCGCCTGCAAGCCGATGGAATCGGGCTTCAGCGTGTTCTTGATGTTCCGAATGATGTGGTCGCTCTTCCTGAACGGTTCGAGCTGTGAAACGGGATGTCCGCGTGAACCGTTGCCGGCAGACCGTAGACAATGCACTGCATCTGCCCAGCGACCAAGGGTTCTGGCCGAAGGCATTCCACCAGTACAGGTTGTATGACACGACCCTTACCTTCAGGGACTCTCCTCCGCCTCCGCCTGTCCGACAGGCTCGAAATGCGAGAGATTCGAGGGATCCGGGAAATGAGTGTGGCCCTGCCCTTGCCGCCTTGCCTGACCAGGGAGGCCGAGAGATTGGTGCGCTTCCGCAGCGCTTCTTGAAGTAGGAGCTGCAGTGATCGTTTCTTTGAGCATCCTCCATTCCCGAAAGGCTCTTGTCCTGCCGCGACCGACACATCAAAACTTGACTGTCTCTGTCTAAACATCCTTCCTGCCTTGAGGAAACAGGTGCCCCATTGCTTGCAGAAGGTGACGCTCTTGCAGGCATCGTTGCCATTGCAACTGCCTTGGGCTGCAATCACCGAACGGAACGTTTCTTGCGAGGTGCTTTCGCTGTCACACCACATGCAGGTGCATCTAAAACCTGGCAAAGCAAGCTGAAACTCGGGGAGGTGCGCTCGCACTCTTCCAGGGATGCTGTCTCCAACTTGCCGACCTCATTTCCTTCCTCCGCGACCAGACCGCCAACTCCGTCCCAGCACACCTAGGAGTGCCCAAGCGCAGATTGAATCAGGTCAAGCTGCTTCAAATTCACCAAGGGCTCGACGTCGCTCTCTCGCTGACAAGTGCAGAGCATGTCAGAGGTGTCAGCAATCTCTTCGTCACATCGCTTGCGCTCCTACCAAAGTCCACTAGTCCACTTCTATGCAACAAGCACAAGACAGCCACAACAATTCCAGTGCACAGGCTCATGTGTGTTGAAAATCGCAAGTGCCGAAAATCGAAAGGTGCTCAATTCTGGTTCGTGCGTGTACCCGACATGCGCCCTACTTGGGGCTGTCACGCATGCAGAAGCAGGTGCCACGGTGCCACTGCTTCCAAAAACCTGTACCGAGAAGCGCGTTTGGCTGCTCCATAACGTTAAAGGTTCGTGCAGACCGACGACCGGGACAAGGAACGACAAGAAACAAAGCTTGGAAATCGGGAAAGATAAGTATTTACCTATGACAGGCAGGCTTCTGCTCGCAAACCAATTCCATGGGCTCCCGACTAGCTTTGCCGGATCAAACATCGCAAGCCTAAACTCGCCTCGACCTGTCTCCCTCTGGCACCTTGCTGTTCGTTAACATCTTCGCACTTTCTACACCAAAACGACACACACCGGCCAAGGACAACACAGAAACCTCCATCTTTTTTGGCACATACCAGTAGGCTTTGACATTTTACCATCGTGTGGCTGCCGAAGTGGCACGGAACTATGCACGGCGGAATCATCATGATGATCATCATGCTCTAGTCACTGGCAGCGGTTGTTTGCGAGGCGGGCTGCTCCTGTGGTTCGGACCTGCTTGAGTCCACCCTCCGAACCCGAACGGAGGAACTAGGCTGTGCACATGACTGCGATGCAGAACGGGCCCAGCGGCGGTCCAGAACTTCGCAAGTTTCTGCCTTTTCCTCTGCCGCAGCCACACACTTGTGGTCAAAGCTTTCGCAGTACGTGTCGCAACGACCTCCCAACAAGTGAAGCTGACTCCACACTTTACAGCTGGTGAAAGCTGCTGTAGAAACTGCAAGAGGGCCTCCGTATGGCGCTGTATCCACCAGCGCACGACAGCCGCCGCATGTTACACCATCGACGTTGGGCCACTCCTGAAACTCGTGGCAACAAGTTACGCGTTGTCCCCATGTTCCGCTGCTTTGCGTTGTCGATCGTGGTCGAATATCGGTGAGTCCTCGAAAGGTGCACAAGAATCGGATGTAACCTCCTCCATGTCGGTCCTCAGTCTTCGCTTTGCTCTCCAAACATCTCGGAACGAATGCAGTAGCACGACAGAGCTTCCCGCGCTAGGACATCAGGCTGCCGCACACGAGAACCGTACCTGGCCACACAACTCCAAGCCCTTGCGTTGCACAGAAGACGCAAGAAAGTCAGCTCTTGCGACTGAGGCTCTGCAGGAGTGTCGGGCCCGCATTGCATTCGTGGCCCGGGGATCTTTGGCCCCTGGCACGCGAACACTCGCAGAGGCCCGACTCTTTGGGAGGACAGCCAGCGCACCTCTGGCATTCGCCTCCGTGCACGGGATGGCAGAGAGCCTGCAGCTGCGCATCGAGCCCTCTCAGACTGGAAGATTTGACCATGTTGAGACCAGATGGCTGGTGGATGTGCTCGTCTGGCTGAAGGCGGATGTACAGTGGCTAGTGCCGAGAATTTCAATTTGTAATGTGGCCTGCCGCTAGGCCTCTGATTGAGACATCTTACAATGATCAACTGGCAACAGCAACAGAAATGGCCGAGCACCGCTACTGCGGGCTGAACACGCTACAGGGAAAAGATGGAGGCAATTTTCTGTACCGAACATCCCGAACATGAACGAACCCCTCCCTGCCCCCAGTTGCTGCAAAAGACAACCCCTGCCGAGGGGCCAAGATGACCAGAAGCACGCTCCACATGGCTATACCTTGTCTTGCAGCCTTCAAGGGATGTTCTTGGCGTCTACGATGCTAGTGCAGTGAAACGGCATGAGGTTGCCATCAGACTTGATACTACAGTGGACGTCGACATGGTCGTGATGCACTTTCCCCTTCGAGACGAAAATGTCAACTGCGAATCGGAGAAACTATGGACGAACAAAGGCAAAAGACACTGCTTAAATCACAAGCAGTCGCGGGCAAGTTTGGTCGAAGCTCGAAAGTGGGACTTCTGAGGCATGGCTATCGACAAATCTCGGCACGTATTGAGCCGAAACCCAGCGTTGTCTTCACCCACTTTGGCGAGACTTGACCGGATGCAGGAAAACTGTGTGAACACAATGTACCAGCGGCTGTCGCGGCAGCCGCGTTTATGCTAACACAAGGCTAAGCTCGTCATGCCACGTCCTCGCGTCTTTCGCTGTCGGACATCTTCCGGAACTAGTTTTGCCGTAGGATCGCGGGCAACAGCATCGCGAGCCAAAGCAGCATCACCACCACAAGCACCTCCAATGAAGACTCCACACGGAGAGTTTGACAACATTATGAGATTCCAAGGCCATCGCGCAGGAGCAGCTGTAGAAGCACACGAGAAAAGGATCCTGAAAAGGAACACTGAAGGGATTGGACTGTGAGAGACGCAGCTGGAATCCTCATACCACTGGAGTTGCCGCAGCCTCTCCTTCTCCTGCGGAGCAAGGCAAGACGACTTAGGACTATTGACTTAGGCCCAAGAGACACGCTCGAGTTGTAGTCATCCTCTTCCTCGGACTCGAAGATGTGGCGAAAGCAAATCTTTCCCAGATCATTCGCTGCCTGACTCGAGCTAGAGCCCACATCAAATCTAGCAAGCTCCATGTCCGGCCTCTGGGGACACCAGAACACGGCACCCCAAGACTTTCCGGACTCGCGTACCAGCGTCGAACACCTTGGGCCGGAAGACTCTGCCTCCCTCCCTCCTTCTTACGCTTTCGTTTGTCTGTCGGCGGGATGACCACTCATGTAGAACTGGGACTTAAACCTCGCTTGTACCTCAATGCATGTCACTGCTTCAAAACCTGAACACAATCGGCTGAACTAACTGCAATCACAAAAGACAAATTCCTGCGCATTGTGCTACACACACAAGCAAGCACATCCCCACAAGACCCCTTACGGAATACTGCGCATACTTTAGTCATCTTTGCTCCGGCTTGAAAGGAAGTACTTCCTGCAATTGTCCTAGTGGCTGGCTTCGCAAGGCAACGACACTGCCTCGAATGCAGTATCAGCCAAATCCCGACTAAGAAAGCAATGCACTCGTGCCATTGAGACTTGGCAGCAACAGGCTGAGGTTGCACAACAGCCTACAGCGACTGCGACTGTGCAACATGTCTCTGGGCAAAAGTGAGGCCCCCGAGCGGAGCATGTGCTGGTCTCCATCTCTCTCTTGCTTTCTTATTCTTCCAGGAAGGAGTATTAGCCTACACTACCTTACTGGCTGGGGTTTGCCCAATCGAACCCCCGTGACATCCGTGGACCCCAGCAGCCAGAGCTCTTGCGGCTCTGGCTCCCCTCTTGCTGTCGCAGCTTTGTTTCAATGTCTCTTCTCTCCTTAATTAAGGCCAATTGAAGCCCCGTTTTCAGTCAGGATCACTCCAAAGTTTTGGTTTAGGTGGTTTGGGCAACGACACCACACAGAATCATCAGAGACATGCACCGACTCTTCCATGTTGTCGCTGGTTGCTCAAACGTCAGCTTTGGTTTTACGAAACGCAAAAAAGCCAAATGATGTCGATCCTTTGCACAGGGGTGGCCAGCCGACATCAATGAACCACTCACGGCTTGATCTCTGTCTCTCTCAACATGTGCATGCCAGAGCCTCATACCACATCTTGCACAGTATTTCCCACCGAGGAACGCTCTGCACTTTGAGTTTCACTTCTGGCGCGGGCTTCCGCAGGTAGCTTCTCCACTGTTCCTGCTGCACACCAAGGCCACAACAAAAAGCTTGCAAAAAGCAATGACGGCTCCTCCGCGCCGTCTCCGCCTTCTTCAGGGCCTGCCTTGCGCCGCCGCAGGGAGGACTCCTGACCTGCCAGAGAGATTCCAAGACTCTCTGCATGAAGAGAACCGAGCCCTGTTAAGCCCGGCACGCTTCTTCAGCTGCGATCGAAACTCCGCCCTGCGCTCCTCCTCTCACCAAGTTGCTGACATACCATACCGCTCGTTGCTTCAGTGCCTGCAGCCGCTCTTGCAGCTTTTCGGTCAGCGCCGAGGCAAGCTTTCCCTCGTCGACATCACTGGGCACGCCAGTGAACAGAAACCTAAGCAGCAGGGGCTCACATTATGGACCTCACAAGCGACAAGATCAGGAGGCGCAAAGCCAAAGTGCACCGACTTTGCAAAGCCAGGCGACTCCAAAGGAACAGAATCCTGATCGGAACCCTGTCACCAGGCGAGCTACACAGCATGCACACTGTGCATGCCAATGACACTTTCAAGAAGTCAGCGAATTTCGAATTTCCGTCCTCCCACAAGGCAACATCCACAAGCTCCAGGACCCCACCGTTCAGGGACACAGCCAGGCTATGCCTCAACAGAATGTACGCTGCGCTTGGCTAGTGCTTGCGGGGTCTGGTCTTGAGCCTGGCTGAGCCTGGCCTTGTCGCATCCAGCAGAGGATGGCCCCGAGCCTCGTCCGCGGCGGAGCTACGCCGAGCTACGCTGAGCTACGTCGCTACGTCCCTGCCGCCTTCGCCCATTGAAGTCGGCATGACTCCGCTGTAGCGACGGTCTCCACCATGAGACACTTCAAGAAAGCCAGGCTTGAGCTTGCTCTAACCGTGTGCTTGAGCTGCCGATTCCTCGTGCCGTCGACTTCTACGTTTCGTGCCTTCAGCAGCTTCGACCCGTAGGGGCTGCAGAAAAGTGGATTGGCCTCTGAAGCAGAGAACTTTCAAGGCGCCATGACCAAGCGTGTACGGCGAAGGAGGTTATTTCCGTGGTCGAGGTCAACCTTTCCGTTGACCAAGAAAGGCTCCAAGCACACTTCTGTGCTCAGATGCGAGTAGAGGGGTGTCTGCGTAGTCTCGAGTCCCACTAGAGTCATGCACTCCCACAGAAGGTAAGCCTGTGAATCAGCACTGCTGACTACGAAGACAAAATCAGACGGCTCCAGAAGCATGGCTTTGCCATCAGTTCAACTGCTGCCTAGCAAACTAGCGGAGTTCCCAACACTGACAACGTCAGGTTCGCGGAATTCTGCGAATTTTGCCCCTCACTGTCTGTGAGAGAGGCACAGGAATGGAGTCTCTGTGAAATTGGCATGAGGAGGCTTCAGAAGCATTAGCTTTGTCAGCACCTGGCGGGTGAGAGGATGTGCCTCTGCCGAAACCGACACATGAGTAGTTTGACCGTCCATGGCTGAGCTTGAGACTCATGTTCGGCACATCTCAGCACCATACACAGCCACACCACTGCTTCTCCTTGTTGTACCACACATGGCTGTAGCCTTGTCTGTCTGTTGAATGCAAGATTCTCACAGCTAATCGCTCAATGCGAGCGTCTCAGGAAAGCAGCGTCGAGCTTCGTTAGCTTCCTTGGGCCTTGTACAGTCCCATAGTCCCATTCAACAAGCAAAGGAAGTGAAAGCAGACGAGCCTTGAGCCTCCCCCTGCAGACACCACACCAAGTCCATGGATGCACTGGGAGCGCTAGGAGTTTAAGCTCCAAGCCCGTGGACATGCTGAGAGCCCTGAAACTGTTCAACGCCTTTGAAAACTTTGGCATGGTCATGCAAGCCATGGCCCAAGCCTCACCACTACTTTGAGACTTTCCTAGACATTCAAGAACATGACATAGCCATGGGATTCAAGCACCGTGGGAAGGGGAAGCAGCTGAATCCAAGCAAGTTGACTTGAGTCTCGATCGTGGTCCAAGTCCACGGTCATCCGGTATCTGCGGTCGCTCGGGTCCCGCTCGTACACTGTCAGACTCCTCATGAGATGCTCCGACGTGAAGGCTCAAAGTCGAAACAGTAACAAGTATCTGCGCACTGAAATCACGATAACCTGTTCTTCGATATGCTGCGATATGGCACTGAGGCTCTTAATCTTTTAATCGGCAACATCATATGAGCCATGATCCGGCTGTTCAGTGACACCGCTGACAGGTTAATGAGCCAACACCTTAGAGAGACAAGTGACAAGTGCTTCTTGCTACTGAGCCTCTTGATGTAGCTCTTCGGCCTCGTGCTGCAGGACAAACAGGAGGAGCGGTCTTGTGACTCCTGCGCTGTGAAAACCTTCTCAGATTATTCCTCCACGACTTTTTGGAGTGTACGGAAGTCCTTGAAAGACTTCGTCACGAAGGTGCCGAGCTGGTGCGCGACATCTGCATCCACATTCTCGTACTCCTCGGCTTCAGACGAAACAACATGGAGCTTGCACCAAGCGACCAAAGTGAGAGCCAGCTTGTAGCCGCTTCCGGCTTAAGGCCAAGCGGCGGGCTGTGAGGAGACCAGGCCGCCCATCGGATCGACAAAGGTGCCAAGACCGCTGACCGATGTACTGTGAGGCCGACAGGCTCGAGCACGGCTGTTCGAGAACTCACAACTCCGATACCGTCACAGCCAGCGATGAATTACAACGGTCTTGGCATGTTTGCGGAGCTTGTTCAGTCTTTGCAAGAAACCGCTGCATTTGCAGCAAATCACAAAGCTGCAGGCCTGACAACATCAGGCCAGGTTCGCTCTGCCGAGGACAGGGGAAGAGCATCGCATGCCTAGGCCCGGGCTCCAGTCCTGAAGATCTCGGAGGCTCTATGAACAAAGCAGCCGCTGTGTCATTCTGACAGTGCGGCCAGGAGGAACTGAGCAGACCAGTTCTTATTGCACCATGTTCTTGTCCTGCAAATGTTTACAAGAAACACAGAGCTGGACCGCTTAGTGGGACTCTCCGTTCAACTCTTGCCAGCAAGCCCTCTCTCTAGAGATCTCAGGTAATTACCGCCCAAACATCTGTAGACGGCACACCTGGATGAGGCTTACCGCCAAGTGATTCCGCTGCCTTCAGCACACGGAATGGGCTACTCGTTCCTCAGCAAACAGATCTCACCTTCTTGCGCGTCCAGTTGTGGACGAAACCTGCAGGTTATTTCCAGCACTGGAGAAACAGTTGCATTGGTTTCTGCGAACCCACTTGTTTTGTCTTGCCCCCAAGCCACTGCGGCGTCCTTCGTGGAGCCTGACGTCCACGTGCGTCTCCCACAGCTGGCCTGCTTGCAAGATCCCAGTCAGACATCAGAGGTCGGATCTGCATGTGATTCCGAGAGTCTGGTGCTGCGCAATTGATATCATCCTGGACTCCAAGAGGCCTGACTCGTCTTCGTGGACGATTGTCGCACCCCTTGGTCGTGGACTGCAAAATCTTTGCGAGATGTGGTGTCAACTTGAGATGCTACAGCTTCTTAGGGAAGCGTAATCTTTGGAACTTCATGGGAAGCGGCTCGACCCAGCGCGGAGGCCGTGTTCGCCCATACCAGAATCGAGTCCATGGCCACCACAAGGGAACCTCAGATCAAGCGAGAGCTCACAGGAGCGCCAAAAACCTGCCTTGTTGCAAGTGCCACTTTCGCCGATAACGGCAGCTGACTCCCCTTGCATGACGGCTTCACCAACTACACTACAACGCAGAAGGCAGCTAGGCCGAAGTTGTGATTGATCTACCGAGGAGCATAGTCAGGCAATTGTTCCCCTTTGGATTCTGCATCTTTCTCCCACTTTTCCCAAAGCTGATTGACGGTGGCTTTCTGACAGGGGCGACAGACTTCCAAGCCTACAACAGACCGAAGATCGAACCTTGCTCCTGTTCTGCAAGAGCACACGTGCATTGCTGCTAATCCTCTTGTCTTTCGACCAACTGCGCAGGTTTCCTCCACTGCATCCTTCGTTGCCATCTTGACGACTCTGTCCACTGTGGCCTCATATGATCGACACATTGCTGACACATGATGCAAATGAAGCAAGCCTACTTTAAAAGCTGCAACGAGGAGCAGCGTGCCGCGGCGGTTGACTTCGAGAATGCATGGAACTGAGTTCGCATGAGGACTCGGCTGCAGCCCAGACGCATGATCTGGTGGCGCAGAGCTTTCAGATGCACCCATGTTAAGTACAGTCTGATGCCAACAGAAAGGAAGCTTGGACGCGCACTCTTGAACCAGAGCAAACGCTTCAAACCATGCAGTAAACACGAACGCAGCACAAGACTCTGCATCGGTTGCTGTGTGTTTTAGTCATGCGTGGTTTAGTCATGTGCAAACCACTGTTAATCTCTTGCGAGGCTACTGGCAACTTACGCAGGCTCTAGGCTCGCTGATGGTTAGAAGGGGATTGTTTCGAATGTCATGTTGGGAGATCGCACCATGGACTTTTGGATGCCTCTTTGAACTCGAAACAACTCAGTACTTCGGCCCAGCCGTGATGAGCAGGCAATGTTATTGCCAGGAGACGTTCACACCGCACCAGAAGGCAATGTTGCATGCACTAGCACGAGCACCAAATTTGCAGCGACACCAAGACAACTGGACTGCGGCTAGCGGCCGCGGCGATTTGGTTCTCCGAGCCTGGACCATGCCGTAGCAGCAGCAGTGGTTGCACTCGTGGTGCCGGTGGGGGGACACCGCTCGAGGCGGCCGCCGGATCCTGACTGCCACTGGCACCATCCGGGCTTTGCAAGCAGCTCTGGGAGTTGCAACCGACCAAAAAGCGAGAGCTGCACAACACAAAAGCGAACACGCAGCACGCACAAAAGCGGTTGCACCCAAATGACCCAAATATCCTCTGGCATCGTGCAGTTCAGGGCAGTTCTACACCACGCAGCACAAAAGGCTACGAGGCGTTTGCTAGTCTGTAAAGCGGAACTCGACAGACCAAGTGGCTTAGCTCACGCTTCTCTCTTTTTTCGGCTTGCCGGAAGTACCACTGCTCAGCAAGTTGAAAACTGCTCTGAAAGTTGAGAGCCTCCGGGGTCTTCGACCTTCCGGATCGAAAGCTGAAGCACTGGAGCAGTCGAAAAGCCCGTATCGTTCAGCACAACAAGCAAAGAAGTTGTAGTGCGAAGAACAGCAAGCAAAAGCGGAAAGCATTATAATATGTATAGCGGGCTGTGACTTAAAAGCTCCCTGCGCTGAAAAGCTGCCCCAAAAGGTGTGGGCGGGCGGGAAAGTTTTTTGTAAAGCAAGCTGCTGTTGCGTGGTGTATGCTTGAACCCAAGCGGGGCCGCGGGTAAGAACTGCCGAAACAACCCTGAGTAAACAGAACCGGTTCAGGGCAGTTCTACACCACGCAACACAAAAGGCTACGAGGCGTTTGCTAGTCTGTAAAGCGGAACTCGACAGACAAAGTGGCTTAGCTCACGCTTCTCTCTTTTTTCGGCTTGCCGGAAGTACGACTGCTCAGCAAGTTGAAAGCTGCTCTGAAAGTTGAGAGCCTCCGGGGTCTTCGACCTTCCGGATCGAAAGCTGAAACACTGGAGCAGTCGAAAAGCCCAAGCAAGAAACTGGCAAGCCGAAACCTCGCAAACGTAGTGAAAGGCCAAGCAGAAAAGTGAGGTGAGGAAGCAAAAAGCTGAGCTACTTGCGCTTCCTGGAACCACGGTTTGTCGGACCCAGACTGTCAGCTGGCGGGAGCTGCCACTTTAAAAAGGTGTCAGCGGGAAAAAGTGTCACTTGAAAGCGTATCTGCCAGAACTCAGAAAGCGAGAGTTCGATGCGGTTAGGCGCGAGGAACTTGTCAGGAAGGTCTGTGGAGCCATCCCAACGAGAAAGCAGGTCTGCATCGTCGTTCTTCTCGCCAGCGATATGGCTGCAGTCCAAAGTGACACCGGTAATAGAGCTCCACATTGAAAGCTTGCGAACGAAAAGATTAAGTGGTACTTTAGAGGTTTAAAGCTTGTTACACACTGATTCAGCACCACTATTATCGCTCAAAGCTGGTAATGTCAGAGCCAAGCGACCTGAGCCATGGGCTTTCCAAAAGGCAAGAAGTACAAAGCACTGTGCCAGTGTCTCGTAGCTGGAGATGTCCAAGTTGGCATCAGGTTGCATTGGCAGACCTAAGTCCAGAAAGTCGTTGACAGTGTAGCGGTGAGCAAACCAAAGCAAGCGTCCACATGGGAGGAGGAGCCATCCTCCAACGCCGCAATCATTGCCTTTGCCGAAAGCATCTGCGGCCGACTCCACCGAACTGGCAGGTGGTGGTCGTAGCGGCCTTGGCCGCCATTCCCTGGAGCTCAAGTGGGCAAAGAAAGCAAGTGTTTCTCTGCTGGACTCAGACAAGCGCCTCTTGGAAGAAGTGGGATCCGTGATACGAAGCCACATGCGCTTCGTGCTTACAGGAACTAAAGCCAGGTCTTCTTTACTATGCAAAGCTTTGTGCCGAGCGGAAAGCAAGGTGGAGCCTGGCGAGATGCTGGTGCCCGGAGGGCTCCCTGTGAAGCGAAGCTTGTCGTCCAGGTAGGCGTGGATGCCTGGCCAAATGCATGGGCTGATGCTGACATTAGTCCCAAGCGGTCGATGCATGTCATCGTAAAGAGTACATAGCCAGGGGCCAGGGGCGTAAAGCCGGAAGCCCATGCAAAATCCACTGAAGCAGACCAAGGAGTTCGTCAAGCTGTTTGCGGCTAACAAGACGATGCCGTAGACACTCTTCCACCTGGCCAAGCAGCTTCAAGCGTTTGAGCTCGGGTAAAGTCTAACAGCCAGCATGGAAATCTATCTGCCATCCTATCCAAGTTATAGAGGGCCCCATCCGCAGTTTGCGCCAGCTAAGCGGTATATTGAAGCAGGAGCAGAATGCCAAAACCAATGAAGCGCTGAGTGGAAGTGCACGAGAGTTTTGCCAAAGAAGCAAATCATCTACGTACAGCGTGAGGACGTGTGACAGCCAGATACGTAGATGTAGGCATCGAACAAAAAAGCCCCCTAAGCGGGCAAACCAGTGGCTCGAAAAAGTGGCCCCGAAGGGACAGACGCGGTAGAAAAAGAGGCGCTCTTGCTGTCTAAGTCCAAGCAGGCCCCTGTCTTGCTCGCGCACAAGCGACGTTTTGTGCGCCCCTTTCACATCTAAGCTGAACCCAGAAACTGGCTCCTCGTCCTGAAGGCTGGGAAGTGAGAACTGTTCGGGGACGTGGCAGTTCTGGTTCGTGTTGCAAATGCTATTGTCTATCAGCAAGCGGGGAGCGCGACCTGGAGCCTTGACGATATTGACTCGGCCAACTGCTACGCGTTCTCGACCCCAGCGCTCATAAGCCGCTTCCAAGCTGGGCACTTCCTCTATGTAGCCGGAGGAAACTTCCTCCTCGATCAACTCCTGAAGCAGTGCCGGATCAGCTTCAGCCCCCTGCCAATTGCCTTCACAGACAAGCAGGTCGGTGGTATCGTCCACGTTGTCTGAGGCGCGAGGCCGCAGGGTGTGGCTGCGTGGGATGTCACCGTCAAAGCCAGTGGGAACCCCTTTTTGCAAAGCGGGGAATAGAGACGTGTCCTTGTCGCCTAACATATTGCTTAAGCGCTCCAACGCAGACAAGCAATATGGCTGGCCCTCCTTCACTGAGAAGTCCCAGTCCTGGCAGGGAGAATGGGAGTCTGAAAAGCGCTTGAAAGACGACCTCAGCCACTCAGTTTCTTCCTCAGAGAAAAGGGGGCTGTTGCTGGCTTCAGCGACATGTTGCTGGAGACGAAGAGGAATTCTCTTTTCTAGCAGCCAAGATTGCCACTCCTTCCGCAGGTCGTGTAAGCTGTCAGATTGGTACCTTGGGCCAAGAGACCAGTCCGGCAGGGAGTAGATGCCTCCCCCATCCTGTGCAGCAGTAGGCGTAGCGGAGCGTGGCTTTTTGGGAATAGATGCAAGCGCGAACTGCAAAGAGCAGGGAGACACCGGGTAGGATGGTCTGGCCGAAGAAAAGAGGCTCACTGCCCTGTCTGCAAAGCTAACCGCAAGCGTGGGCGGGTATTCTGCCGTCCTCTGAGACAGGAAGTTGCCGTGCTCATCCCGGGTACCTGCAACCGACTGGTGACCTTCTGAATGTGAGCATGTACCTGAAAGACTGCGGAACTCGCTGAAGCTACAAGCGAAAAGCCAAGATTTGGCTATGTCCTGTCCCACTGAACACGCCGGGATATTGACAAGTGAAGCTTGTATCTCAGAAAGCATATCCTGCACGAAAGGCTCCAGCCAAGACATGGCGTTAGTGGGCTGCTCCAGGGACACATGTGCACCTGAACCAAATGCAGCACGCAGCAGGCAGACACAACGGTATAAAAGCTTTTGGCTGCTGTGTACTCTGGCTTGCTGCGAGGCGGTGTTCCCTGGCAAGCCGTTCATGTGGTCCGGGGACCGAATAGCTGGGGGCCCACCTGGACGAAGCTTCAAGCGGGAGTACTCCTTTGAAAGTTTAAACCCTTAAACCAGTGTCCTTGTTAAACCACGGCGCGAGCTTGGATTCTTTTCTCACTTACTGCTCCGCTGTCGGGCTGTCTTGAGCCTACGTTTGACCTGCGGTGAAACACTGGATTCCTGTATGTAAATGGGCATGAGGGAAAATTGAACTATCTGTTACGCCCTCATCACGTACACAGCTTTGTCGTGTCACGTGATCCTTGTGAAACTTTTCCTACTTCTACCACAGTTTTCGCATGCTCCTGTGAGCTTCATCTTCTCTTCTCGCACGCTTCTTTGAGCACTTGTTGAACATCTTTATCCTTTTCTTCCTTTGGTCTTCATCCTCAATCTTCAGATGTCCTATAGCAGATTTGCGAATTTCCATTCCACACACAATTGGCATGGACTCACTCGGAAACTAATTCACTGCTACAACGCGCACTCACTTTTTCTTCACGTCGCTTTTCGCGATGTAGTCCATTCTTGCACTTCGGCAATCTGGAAACTTCTGTCGGACTTTCTTTCACCAGTCCTTTCTTGGCTTCTCAGCCTTGTAGACATTGACTTTTGAAGCATTCGTGGCGCTCGTAGTGCTTTGACGTTGCCGTGGGACTTTCGTCCACGTGGCTTTTGCTTTTGTCGTTGCCGTGGGATCTTTCCATCCTCGTGGCTTTTCTCTCAAGCTTCTAAAGCTTTCTTGGTGAAACGTTTTGCCTTGGGCACTTTCGCCCTCACGCTTGTTGCTGGGCTGATTTCCAACCCTCACTTCTTTTCTGCTGGGCGTCAGCAACGCCCTCACGGTTCCTTTGCTCTTGCTTTAAACCGTTGCGCGTCATCCGCTTGCGGTTTACTCCAACTCTTTTTCTCCTCGCTGGCGCTTCTCAGCTCTTTCTTGATCGAACGGAGATACGCTCTTCCGCTTCTTCTCCTTTTCAGCTTTTTCAGCCTTTTCAGCTTTCTTCTCTTTATCCTTGTCCTTGCTTTTGGACTTGTCCGCTGGCTTTTTCTTCTTTGGCTCCTTTTCTTCTGCTTCCTTTGAAACCTTTTCTTCAGCCTTTGCTTCATCACTTTTCTTAGGCTTCTTTGGTTCTGCTCCCCAACTGTCTTTTGGCGTGTATCCTGAACCAATTGTCTCTTGGAAGTCTTTTAGCTCCTTCTCATACTTGTATGCATTGTCTTCCAGGTAGGTTCTGACGCTGTCCTTGTACTTGCAGATGTCTGGGGTATGGGTGCCCCAGCCTTTATATCTGAATGAACGATAGGACACGTTCTGGAAGTAGAGAAAACATACCTTGCAGAAAATCTTGCGTTCGGTATTGCTGCTGTCTGGCCTTTCGCCGTTATAGAACATTTTGACAGCTTTCTCCATTTCCGGGCATTCCGGAGCCTTATGCTTGTCCGTCGCCTTGCAGTAAAAGCAGTGCATGTACTTGGTCTTCTTGAATGACTCTTCCTTTGGATCCTTAAGCCAATATGGGTTCACCTGCTTCTTTGGTGGTGCCCCTTCTGGCTCGCTTGGCTTCTCCTTGCTGTGATCCAATCTTGCCTTCACTGCCTTTTCAATCGAGTCGTCTGTCGCCTCCGTGAACTGATCTCTCATCTTTTGCTTCAATGCTAGCTGCTTCTCTTTGGAATTCGCTGCCTTTCTCTCTTCTTCAGAAATCGTCGGTCCTCCTTTGAGAACGCTTGGCACTTTCTTTGGCATTGCCTTTATCTTTGCCGCTGGCGTTGTTGGGCTGCTTGCCTCGCTTTTTCTCTTGATCGACGCCATCAGCTTTGCTAGGGCTTGTCGCTCCTTCTCTTCATCTGGCTTTGGCCTTGTGTACAGATCTAGGCTTTTGAACTCTTCGCTTAGAGCTGACAGTAGCTTGTCTGCCGTCTGCACCACTTCTCCTAGCTGCTGTAAAGCACTTCTCACATTGCTTGTCTTCTCAACATCTCCTCTTGCTGCGACTGCGTCTTCCTCGAGTTCTCGCACTTTCTTCATCTTCGCCTCGAGCTTTTCTTTCATCTCCTGCTTGAGTTCTTGCTCGTATCTATCCATCTCTTCTCGGGCTTGCTTGTAAGCTTCTTCAGCTTTTCTTTCGTCGAGACCAGATGTGCTCAAATTGATACTGGACCTTTTGCGAGCGCCTTGGATCAGAATGATTTGGACGGGGCTTCTGGGCATTGTTGCGAGTGACACTGATCTTTGAGGCCCATTTGGTAGCCGAGTGTGATTTCGCTTCCCTGTTCCACACAGCCCAAGAGACGCGCGGATGGGCCTTTGTTTTATGCTCCCGGCGAAATCGCCACAGGGAGTCCTTGCCAAAGCAGGCCGCATCAGCAGTCGAGATGCCTGCCTGGCACCGTTTGCATCTCCAGTACGCCTCCTCGCCATCAGCGAGGTTACGAACACAGGAAGCCTTGCGAGCAGGAGCGAGTCCAAGCTTCTCCCCCGGATGCGAATCCAAAAAGTGCCGCTGATAGGCCGCATACGCCTTCACAGGATCAGCACACTTGCGGCGGAAGGGACAAAGCCTGCATTTGGCAACTCCATCAGGGAAAGCTCGGCCGCGGTTACGACGGGCCATAACAAGGGCAGACTGAGGCAGGGCCCGGTTGGCATGATGCAAACGCTCAGGGTGCGGGGCATCATCATCGTCCCACTCCAGCAGGCATTTGAGAATGCACGGAAGCGTCAGAAGAGACGGCTCGGGACCATACCGTCGCAGCAGCACCGCGAGCGCGCTTAAGACAACTTGGACCAGACCGATGGCCAGCAATGCAATCATCCCTTTGCGAACTCGGAACTGAAGCATCACGCCGGGATTGTGAAGCGGCCTTTCTGCTCGACGTGTTGGTGACAGTCCACACAGTGCCCGCCTTCACAGAGGATGATCGGCTGGCCTTGGACCGGTTGGATCGGGCGCTACGAGTCCAAACAGTACCAGAGCACTGGGAAGCATCATCACCTCCAGCCCGCAAGTCCACGACAGCACCGCTCGTAACGGAAAAAACCTCCTCGGGGTATTCTTTAGCATCCTTAGCAGGTAAAAGAAGCTCGATATGTCGAGGCGTATACCACAACACCAGCTTCCTTTTACGCTGCTGCGCATGAAACGACATCGCACTAAAATTCCCATCGCGCGGGATAACAAGGATGTGACAGTCAAACAAGCGGCCGAGAGCCTTCATCTCGATGGTAGAGGCATATGCAGATTCCGAAGCGATTAACTTGAGGTATTCCTCAAAGGCCACCTCCGGAGATTCAGCATTTTCCCGCAATTTTTGTAACTCCGGCCCATGGCCGTCCCACTCACCTAAATACTGCGAGGCATATTTTCGCAAATGCTCGACGCAGCGCGCCCTCAGGTCCCTGTGGGAATGCTCGGTCTTCTTAGGGCCCGAAAGCCAGTGGAGGCCGCGCGCAATTGCATGAAAAAGGCAGGCTCCGTCTTTCGGAGTCTCAATGAGATCACACCCCGAGGGGATTTGACGATGCGAAGCCGCAACATGCTTGGCAGGGGACACCTCCTTACCTTCAGCATCAAGTTCAGCGGGAACCTGAAGTCTAACGGATTGGGGCTCCAGCGCAGGCTTCTCCTTGGCAAGGCAGGGAGTCGGCGCACATCGCAAAGGTCGCTGCTTAGCTTGCTTAGGCTTGTAGGGTGCAACCGTAGCCCACAGCGTGATTTCATGGTCCTTTCCCGGCTCGCTCTCGACGATGGCACTCAAAGGAACCAGATCAAGATCGCCGTGCTTAAGCGTAGCTCTGAAGCGATACAAGTACTCAGTGCCAGTGCGCTTATGCTGAATCAAAGCCACATCCTTGAAGGATTGGTCCAACACCTGCAGCACTTCCTTCTGTCCCCAGCTAGCCGGCACATGAGGGAAATTCCAGACACGCGGGACAGCCTGTGAAGGATCTCTAGGCGATCTGGCGCCAATGCGTCCGCCCTGGGTGGCAAGACCGTAAGGAGCACTCATGCGGAGGCCGCGTTCAAGATACGCAATCGGAGCTTCGCCCTTGGTAGCAGCAAGCCACTGCACAGTGGAGACAAGCTTGCCGCGCGGCACATCAACAAAAACCCCATCCCGGCCACTGACAGCAACGAGAGAAGACAACTCAGTGTCCAGGAGGCGAGCAATGCCAAACAGTTGCAGGCCTTGCTTACCAGCCTGCTGCTCCTCGATCCAACCCCACGTGTCACTCAAAGTGATTTGGTGAGAGCTAGCCCAAGAAGAAGCAGCACGACTCGGGTTGTTCTTCCAATGCTTGAATTTATCAGGCGTCATGTACATCTCAGGCACCTTAAAGTAGACGACCGAAGTGGACGTAGGAACAACTTTAATGGCCTTGGCCTTGTGCCCCGCAAAGCAAGGGACACCACCATCAGCAGGGACAGATTTGCAATGTGCAATTGAGGCTCGTCGAAAACGTAGGAGATCACCCACACTTCCCGGGAGCTTGTGAGGACCATCCGCGTCCAAGGTTACAAGGGTGATTTTATGAGATTTTCTGGCGCCAGCAAGCATGGTCCGAATTCTCGGCAGCGCCGAGGGCTCGACAAGAATGACAGCTTCCAGAGTAGAACCCGGCTTAAGGTCGTCCAATGCTTTGGCAATTCCATTCTGCGACAAAAGCTGCGCGCTCCAATCCTGCGATCGGAGCTGGAAGGGGCCCTGCGGGGGAGCACGCTGAACCTTGGTCCAGCCCTCTGCATCACGAGGGGGCCGGTCTCCCTGCCCTTTACCCTTTGATCCAGACTTGGGTGGGGACACCTCTGCACTATCACTACCTTTAGCAGCACCCTTGGCCGACCACCTCTGCCACCAGATGCTTTGCCCTTGCCCGGCTCACGATGATAAGTGGGATGGCGGCTCGAATCGTGGTTTTTTCGCTTGTAGGGTCAGGCTTGTGGCGTTTGGGCCCGCGCTCCTGGTCCGGCTCCTGCAGCACAACACGGGGGGGAGTTGCCGGGGCACCTCCCATGGCATTTGCAATGGCTTCCTGCACAGCTTTCTGAATGAGTGCGGTGATCATGGGCATAAGCTGCTCAGTGATGCTTGCCATCATGCCCTCGAAGGGGTTTTCACCTCCAACCCGCAGGCCAGTGGGACCCGAAAGGCCCTCAGGCAGGCAGGAGCGCGAGACAGCAGCAGAGTCCTGGTCCTGGGTGTTTGGCAAGGAACTTGCAGCTTCAGGAAAACCATCATCATGACACACCTGAGACATTAGGTTGCTTGCACATGCAGAGGCAAGCACTTCACTGGTACCCGCAATGACAACACGACTCGCCGAATCAAGAGAGCACGGGAGCCTTTGGGATAAACTGGGATCTTCCGGTCTGTCTTGACCCAAGAGCCCTTGCACTTGCACGTTGCCAGGCAGCCTCGGAGGGACAGGTGCACCTACAGATTGTGCCTCATACACACAGGCTGGCATCAGGTTGCTCGGGGCCAAGTGGGATATACTCGGACCTTGCGGTCGGCTTGAACCCAAGGACCCTTGCAACTGCACTCGGCCAGGCAAACTCGGAAGAACCTGCCCACCAGCAGGTCGCACTCCACAAACGCAGTTTTGCAGCAGACCATCTGAGCGTACCTCGCACACACATGTTGTAAGCAGGCTGCTCGGGGCCAAGTGGGATATACTCGGACCTTTCGGCCTACCTTGACCCAATGACCCCTGCAACGGCACACAGTCAGGCAGGCTCCGAGGATCATACATGCCAGCAGGGCACACATCGCACAGGCAGTTGGGCAGCAGACTACCAGGGACCACGCGGGATATACTCGGACCTTCCGGCCTGTCTTGACCCAGTGGCCTCTGCAACTGCACACGGTCAAGATCACTCTGGGTCGTCGGCGGGCCCGCCAGTCGCATCGCAGGCACCTGAGCGCAGACGCCAGCAGAAAGATTGCCCACAGCCCGCATGGAACAAGCTTTACTAGCGCAATTCGGGCTTTGGTACATAGCAGCAGAAGATGCATCAAGAAAGACCCGATCAGAGCCCTGCAAGTCAGCAGCCCGTGGAAACTGACACATGCAACAGGAGACTGCAGCGAGCCTGGTATCGACCTGGCCATACACATCAGAATCTGCATGCTTGCTCAGAGGAAAGTCCGCACATGTTGGCGCAGCATCGCTCCCTGACGAAGGCTTCCAAATGCACTCAGGAACCCCGAAAGGCACAGGAGGGGACCTAAACCGAAAGGGGGAAGGGAAACCCAGTTGCAGGCATTCGCCACCGCAGTCAGCACGGTCCTTGTCCTGCTCGACGAAACCACAGTCCCCTCGATCCGCCGATGTATTGCACGCCGACGGCGGCCTGTATTGGTAAGGCCCCCGAAGCCCTGGGTCAGCGACCCCACCTCCTCCTGCCAAAAACTCAACTCCCGGATTGCACTCACCGCCTGGGCTCCGGGGGCACGCTCTATTTGGCATCACAAGATCATCCCGACCAGTTGTTCCAGCGGCCTGGACATCGGGCACCCAAGAGGGCAAGGACCTAAACCCTAGAGGGGAAAGGGAGCCTTGGTCAGTGCAGCTGCGAAGCGACGCAGCACAATCAGCAGAGGACACGGGTACCCCTACGGGGGAGGACCTAAACCCTAGGGGGGCAAAGGAACCACGGCTAGGGCAACAGCCCCGGCACGAAGTGCCATCGACCACCACACCAGCGTCCTTGCCCTGCGCGATGAAGGACTGGCCGCCACCGTTGCCATTCGCCAGCGAGCCCAGGCCATGGCAGCCGCACTGCGAGGAGGAAGGACAGGGGGGCTCCGAAGAGCCAGGTCTGCCTCTAGCACTAGGAGCTGGCACCAGTAGCCCAGCTTCAGTCTCAATCTTTGCCCTTTCGCGGGTCTTGGTAGTGCAGAGCCCCCACAAGACTTTAAGAACACGGCCACAAAGGCTCTTCTTGCTACAGTCAAGCTCGCACTCACCATCACAAGAAACACTAGTTAGGCCACTAAGGCTCTTTGCCCTTTCGCGGGTCTTGTTGATTTCTTGACACTCACAATCGTCACTAGCTAGGCCTCTAAGGCTCTTTGCCCCTTCACGGGTCTTTTCCGTTTCTTGATACACACAATCTGAGTACTCAGAAGTTGCAGTCGACGGTCCGCACAGCCCAGCACCAGATTCCAGGTCACACGCAGATTGACATGCTTGCAGTTGCGGTGCATAGTAAAGAAACTCCTCTGAAAGAGTAGCCTCAAACATGCACAGCTGAGACATAGGCGGTGCTGGTGCAGCTAGGGCATCCTCTCGACAATCACTCATCAAAAGCTGCTCCTGAGAATCATCCTCGGCAGATGCAAGACCAATCCCCGACTGCCAAGGATCTGCCACAGCAGCAGAGCTGCTGCCCTCATCGGAGCCATCTGAGCTGGCCCCCGCTGAAGCCCCTGACCACAAGCCATAGGCCCCAAATGCACTCCACACAATAGTTCTCGGCACACCGCGTTGGGCCAAGAAATCAAAATCCTTCTGGAACAGCCGAACAATGAAAGCGCTCAGCATTTGCAGTCGCTGAGCCACCCACGGTTGTGCATCTCGGACATTGCCAGACGCTTTGCCCCAGCTGCCGAAGCAGCTCTTTTCTTCCCCATTCACTTCTTTTCCCATCAAAGAAGCACCATCACAGAAAGCACGATTCATTCGCTTCAAAGATCGCCGTAAGTGTAGGTAGAACCCACAATCAGGGCCTCCAGAAGAAGGAGCCATGGTCCGAAGACACGTGTGAGGAGTGTCGGCCCTGCACCAGGGAAAGTACAGGTTAACCAGCTCAAGGCACGCGGAGCCCCTCCCCACTTGAGCCACAAATCTCCAGAATTTCCGGGTATCTGATTTCCGGGTATCTGTGGCTGAGCGCCTTCGAGAAGACCGCTCAGCTGCTGTCCGAGGTCCTCGCGGGTCGGGTGAAACATCCCGTAACATGCTGAGTCATCATGGAGAGTGCGAAAGCTGTGCAGCACAAGTCCAGAGCGATGATTCTCAGCGACACTATTAACAAAAGACGAGGCATCGTTCAGAGAGCCGTCGCCACACGTCGAGCGGGAGGGAAGTCAGGAAGCCGCAGTCCGTCTGACATGTACCTCCTCTTGTGAAAAGCAACGAATTGGATGTATCAGATTAGCTACGCAATCACATCCGGAAACATTCCGAGCAGCAAGCTACAGTTCGGAATAAAGCTCGAAACGACATGACCTGAGCAGCAAAGCTACGAGTCAGGTCAAAAGCCCGGAGCAGCAGAGCTACAAATCCGAGTACTACTCAAACGACACGAATTGAAGGAAAACAAGCTCGCGGGAGACTCTCACGTCACTTCAGAAGGCACCGTCAGTGGAGCTCAGAGGACCTCGCTTCCGCAGCCCACAGCAGCCGCCCTTGTAGTAGACGACGGAGAGGAAGAAGGGTGAGCCAGCAGCCCAACCAGCAGCAGAGCAGTGCCGCGCTCAGTTGCGCCGAGCGCACGCCCAGTGCACACAGGTACCCCTAGGGGAGGGAAGGAACTAAACCCGAACAACCCAAAAGGGACAAGGGCCATCGAGAGAGGATGCCACGTGAAATGTCAAGAAAGCGTGAGGCATCACGCGCACACGAAAGGTGTTAGATGCGTAGACAACCCTCCCGCCAGCAGCAGCATCGCCACACAAGGAAGCATAGCCGCGCTCAGCAGGGGGCCTGAGCTCACGCAAAATGCACATGGGTACCCCTAGGGGAGAAGGGCCTAAACCCAAAGAAGCCCTAAGGGGGGCAAAGGAATCGCAGAGCCACGGAAGTCTGGGCAAGTGAGCCCCACACAATAGCAGCAGCACCACGCAGCAAAGCGAGGCCGCGCTCATGCATAGAGGAGTTTACGCCAGGTGCACACGGGTACCACTAGGGGGAAGATGGGGCCTAAACCCAATCAAACCCGAAGAGGAGCAGGCAGGAAGTGATTCAGCATTCCGCCCAACACATGAAAAAGTGCAAGCATGGGAGCGTCGGCATCACACAAGCACTGGTCACAGTAAATTAGAGAAAAACCCTAAGGGAAAGACCTAGACCCGAAATCACAAAGGAAGAGTCCAGGCGAGGGGCCAAATTTAAATAAAAACATTTGCAAGCGGCGCACACTCGAAAGCCATGCCAAGGGCAATCAAGAATTTGAGAGGCCCAAGGTGTGTTGTCCTAGATCATCCTGGCGCAGCCAAGCAATGTCAGGGCCTTGCCCCTGCGGGCTCAGCATCATCGAGAGGGACGCTCTTCACATGTTTGTCCAGCCGCTCAGCAGCAGCTGCCGCAAGCCGTGTGGTAGTCAGCTCCCAATCCCGAACCTGATCACACTGCTGATGCCAGTGCTCCCTTTGAGAGCCCGAGAGCCTGTTTTGCATGCAGCTGCCCGCCGCCTGATCTGCAGCATGGTTAACGCGGCCTTTGCTTCGATCCACCGGGTGTGGAGTGAGGGTTGCGAGACGTGCATCTTTCTCTTGACTGACTGCAAAGCCGCTCTCACGGCCATCTCGGGCCATGGTGACGACCCCTTTACTTTGGGTCTCTTGCTGAGGGACACGCGCCGTCTCTGGCTCCTGAAGTCCCGCCACTGCAATCTCGTGTTCCCGGAGGCCGGCCACGCGCACATTCATCACCAGCAAGCACGATGCCTTGCGAAATTAGCGACCCTAAGCGGCCCTGGGAAGGCTCGAGGTTGTAGTCGCCTAAAACCACAACCTATTACCCGAGGTCACTGCACTCGCCAAAACCTCATCCACTTGTGTCTGGGCAACAGGCTCATTGCCGGCCTGGCCATAAAAGGCCACCACCAGGATGGTTTCATCAGTAGCACTCCGGGAGCTTGCAGGGAGCAAAGGATCATCCACAGGGAGAGATCGCAAATTAAAGAGCCCCGCCACGTGCCTGGTGGAAGCAGGACCCTTGCATAGCTGAACGTGCGAAAAAGAAAATCGCTGACCAAGGCCACACGGCTGCCGAGATCCTCAGGAGCGCTTAGAGCAACATGCCTGCCATGCGCTTTCCACTGGTTGCGATAGCCGATGCCAGCCGTTTTAGGAACATTGACCTCGGATAACACCATGATCTGTGGGGGGCCTTGCCGAAGCAGAGCATCAAGCAGCCCCACCGTCGACGTGCCACGCCGGTGAACATTCAAGCACGAAAGTCGAATCACACCGACAACATGGGGGCTCGCAAGGCCTTTTCATCAGCAGCGAATGCGAGCTCGCCTTGCTCTTTGCGAACAGAGGCAGGAGCGGCATCATGAAGCTTTTTATTTGCATCAAGAGAGCAACCGAATCCACGCCCTCGCCTTAGCAGTGCGAGAAGGGCACTGTCCCTTGACCGAACGATGCTGCCGAGCAATCTCTGCAGAGGGGCACGGCGCTCGGCATTTGCGGCACACCCAAGCTGGGCATATGCGCAAGGGATCTTATCAACAGTATTGGTGTCCTTCCCGGCCTGCCACGGGCCCGGTCAATGCCCAAGGAGTGCGCTCTCGTCGCATCGATTTTGCTGTTAATCATCGTGACCTGCCTGCGGTTTCTGTGGATCACTTTACGTGCGATTTTTCGGACCACTTCTGCTGTGTGAGCCGTGTTCGGCAGAGTGCGTTCCACGTGCGTCTTCCCTGTCGCCCACAGTGCCGCGGGACGGTCGGGCAAGCAGCTTGCGTGAGCTCAGGCCTTCTGCTGAGCGCGGCTATGATTCCTTATGTGGCACTGCTGCTGTCGGCGGGAGTCCCTGATATTGGGACGTTTCTTGTAGAAAAATTTGCTCGACCTTGCTACGGCCCACGCTTCTACTGGGTGCGTTAAAAACCTACAAGGCGAACAGCCCTTCAGGTTTAAGGCAAACAAGTTCCAAGCACCCTTGCAAGCAAAGCAAGCTCACAAAACACTCGGACAGTTCACACTTTCAGCACGCACAGCTCACTGCTGGTCTCACGTGTCTTGAGCCAAACGACAGTAGTCGTGAAACCTCTTAAAAGCTCCCAAGCACTACAAAACAAGGGAAAACAGGTTGAGGCTACCGCAAAACCGTCACGCAAGCTCAAACTACGTTCTACAGGCACTGACCACCTGAAACTAGCAAAACTGTACAACTATACAGGTACCGAGGAAAACTCTGTGTCGCACCTAAAACACTACTGGGCAGAGCACTGGTTTTCTACACCCCCCCACGACGCAGCAGCTGTCGGAGGTACCAGGTGGAGTTCCCTTAAACAGTACTCGCACGCCACTTTAGTAGCGATGCGATTCGGAATCGCGTTCCTGAGGCCGTGGCAGTCCCTACGCACGTGGAAACAGTCTCCGTAAGCAGAAGTAAAGACAGCCATCTTCTGGCCCGACCTTGGCAGAAACGAAAGAAGGTCCTGCACAGCCTGGACGCGGGAGCTCTCGGTACGCAGTTTCTGCAAGCACACTCCAAGCGCAACACCCACAAGCAGTGGGACAAGCACAACAGTGAGAAGCCCTACACTCGGAACTTCGAGAAGCTTCTCTTGCACTTCCACAACCAGGCCAAACACCATGGCACGCTCGGCAGCGAAAGGAGCCAGAGACATCTTAAACGTCCTGGCAAAGAAAGAAAACACCGGAAAGTTTGAGCAAACGGGCTGCGCAGCAAACATGTAGCAACATGTCCTCGACAACGACAAGACTCTCGTAAAAAGTCAAGAGCGCAACGCTTCGAAGAAGGACTTTACAAGCTCTACCGGGTAGTGCTGTGTATTCTTGAGGTCGAAGTCCTTCGAGTGCTCATGCTTCCCAGAGCAACGATAGACACGAATGCTCTCAGCGACTGCTGGGTGTGTGGTAACAACACGCCATCGCTTGGCGATCAGAAGATGATCGCGGCCCCGCATATCAAGCGCACAACCATCAACTGGAACGTCGTGCAAAACGTAGGGGCGTGAGGAAAGAAAATGCTCAGTCTGGCGCCAAGACCAGTAAGCACAAGCACGCGGCCACTCAATGGCCCAAGCATGCACAAAGCTAGTAAGCTCGACCAAGCTTCTCCAGAGCTTCCGGTGAAGCCTCCAGTGCTGAGCCAACCGCCCTCGGCGATAAGCTGGATCACGGGCACGCAGCCTCTGATACGGGCAGCCTCCTGTGCACGGGGTACTAGCCCATAAGAAGACAAAACCCTTCTTCTTGATCTGCTCAGCAAAGATGGCTTTGAGCTCAAGCAAGGTCTGTGCACTGGCACCATCATCACGCTCACTCACAGTAAGCACATTCACCCAGTTTAAGTCCTGGCTAGCCGCTCTCATCGATGATTCAACGGGGGCACAGAACTCAATCACCAACCAAGAGGCATGCGGCATGGCGACAAAACGGTCACGCAAGCTAACATGGTTCTTACCAACAAGCATTGCACCGCACAACGCAACAAAGCCATCAAGCACACAAGCAATAACGGCAACGTCACGCAAGCCAAGTCCCCACATGTGCTTCAAGGTAACAGTCCAACTCAGAGGTTTGGTGAACAAATCTGCAACATTGGCTTCACCGCGCACGCCAAAGATAAAAATCTGCTTTTGCCTGAGCTGGTCTTGGATAAAGCACGCCCTAAGGTCAATGTGCCTCACCTTCCTCAGCCCATCAGCCTTGCTGATAGCAACTGCAGCCTCGCTGTCACAGAAAAGATGGGGCTTTGGCAGCTCTGTCCATCCAAAGACATGCGAGATGGCGCGGCGGATAGAGAGAGCCTCTTTCGCGCCCTCCACAAGCCCATAGAGCTCGCTCTCGGCAGAACTCAAGGCAACAGCCTGTTGCAGACGACTCCAGGCCTTCAAACAGAAGCCTCCCAACATCACGCACCCTCCGCTGATGCTCTTCCTGTCAACATTCTTCTCGCTACCCCAGGAAGCGTCCACATAGCAATCAAGGCGCAGGTTCTCTTCAGCAACCGGGTTCACTACCTGCTTAAAACCCTGAATATACTTCAAGTAACGCAACATAGCTCTCATAGCTCTCTCGTGCTTTTCGAGTGGATTCGCCTGGCCTCGGGCCAGCATGCTCACGTAGTAGACCACATCCACCCTTGTCATCGCAAGCCATGACAGCCTTCCCAGGGAACTGCGAAACCTCGCAGCAGCTTCAGAAGACAGGGATTTCTCCAAGCAAGGATCTTCTTTGTCGTACAACTCCTTTAGGTTGGGCGGCGTGCCACACGCGGTCACCTTGGAGTTCCCGAAGAAACCCTTGTAGATTTCCTCGTAGTAGGAATCGGACATGGTGACACACAGGGAGTCACTAGAATGCTCTCGGGCAATCTGTCTTCCAAGGAAGGTGATCTGACCGTCGCGGTCCAGATCGGCTGTGACCTTCACCTTCACAGCGGTCTTCAGCTGCTCCACCACATGGTAGATAGCTTCATCGCTGTCTCCTGTGATGAGAAGATCATCAACGTAGCAAAGAACAACCACACGCTGGCCTCCAAGCACAGAGCCTGAAAACAAACAAGCCTCAGTCTCACAGGGCTCCAGGTCACAGAGCTTCTTCAGCAGCTTTGCCAGGTGACGCGACCAGGTCTGAGCTGCGACTCTTAGACCATATAGGGCCTTCTTAAGGCGCAAGTAGCCACGGCGGCCGTCCTTGCCCTTCACTCCGTCTGGCAGCCTGACCACAATGTGGCCATCTTCTTCGTCGAGGTCCGCGAAGAGAAACGCGGTGCTCACATCCAACCCGACGATGTTCCTCCTCTTGGAACCCGCGTAGAAAAGAAAAGTTCGCAGCGCTTCTGCAGAGCTTGTGGCAGCAGAGATGCCAAGCTGTGCCGCGGTCGCTCCCTGCGCAAAGTCACGAGCAACTACCCGACACCTGACAAGCGGATTCTCCTTCCCCTCAACACGCTCTACTTTGGCATTGGAGACCCACCTTGTAGAGATCACTTTCTGCTTCGGATCAACATGCCACACAACATCACCGACAGCAAGCGATTCAAGAGCACGAAGTTCACGCAACATGCCTTCATAGGTCAAACCAATATCAAGCAGGTGCCCCGTCACATCATCCTTTGCAGAAGCTGGCACTTCGACAAGCAGCTTCTCCCCCCCAAGCTCGACAACCTGAGGAGTAACAACCTTGGTGGCGGCTCCCGCAAAACAAACCGACGCACCAGCAAAGGAGATGGACTCTCGGTACATCATACTGGACACCATGGCCTCCCGCTCTTCTTCAGGGAGTGCCTCAAGAGGTTCAGGATCAACTTGCATGAAATCAAGCTCGCCTGGGCTCGGGGCCTCGATCTGCTCGAGTTCTTCTCCAAGCTCTATTTCATTCTCAACTCCAGGCAGACTGGGCTCATACTCAGCCAAATCCTCATCCAATGGAAAATTCGGGAACGGATCAAGATCATCCGGCACCTCAAGCCCAAGATCAACACCAAATCCAGCACCCAAATCATCACGCCCGGTCACTTCTTCTTCAATTGGGGCCTGATCGAGGATTGCCCGGCTGGGATCGAAAGAGTTTCTCACAAACTCAGCGTATCGATCACGGCACTTCTGGGTGTGCCAGGCCTTATCTGCTGGAAAACCGCGCAGCCGGCAAGCTCGGCACCTTGGGGTTCTCCCGTTTTCTTCAATCCACTCTGGTGGTGGTCCTCGGGTTGCGGTGTTCGGCAACGGGAGGTCGCGCACATTGTCACCACTGCTCTCGGGGAGCTTCTTCTGGGAATCATCCCTTCTTCCGGGCAACATGCGACAAACACCTTTCAAGCTCGACACCTCAAAAGTGAGAGGAACCAACATCCGGATTCTTGCGCTTCTCGCAATCTTCAAAGTGCCATCCCGCAGCCTAAACTGCACAATGTGGCTTCCACTTCCGACCTCTGGTCCAAGGTAGGCGGCGTGGCCGTAACGGCCGGTGATTTTATCACGCAAAGAGGGAGGAGGAGTGGCAAGCACAGCAGCACCCCAAACATAGGCGGCATGCGGTCCACGGGTGGTCTTCAAGCACCGCTGTTCTGGGGACAGCGCTGATCCAGGATGCACCTGGTACCGGTTGTAGACCTGGGCAACGTGCATCAAAAGATACGTAACACCCTTCCCGCAGGGCTCCAAGCCGACCTGTTCCAACCCCGCACACAGTGTGTTTGCACCTTCCTTGATGGTCCTCACAGCACGCTCTGCAACAACAGCATGCCGACCAACAGGGGCATCCACAACCTCGATGGCACCAGCGGTCAAACCATCAGCAAAACTTTGCGCAAGGTTCTTCACAACACCCTCAATGTCCGACTTCACACTCACCGTCAACTCACTGGGAGCAACACCAACCAAGCCAACGCTACGACTCCATGCCGACATGTCACTCAACATGGCTTCCTTGGCTGCTGGGCCTCGGGATCCGCTCACCTCACGGTACGGAACTACACCGAGGGCAAAAGCACCAACCAAAACCAACACCAGGAAAGCGAGGCCCTTGTAGAAAAACTTATCTATCTGCACCTCTCTCATCCCTGAGTCCTGGGGCCGATCCTGGCTTCTGGCGGGTTCAAGCCCACGACCTTGCACGCACTGCGGGCAAGACGCATTGTACGGCACATGCGATCTAAGAACATGTTCTCGCTCTAGCTTACCCCAACTCTCCTGCAACAACAGTTCCCGATCCCCTCTAAGCAACCATGCTTCACTCTGGCTATCATGGGCCTCGCTCCGGTCACGCTGTGGTCGGTCCTGGCCAACATGCTCAAGCAACTCACCATGCTGCAAATCATGCTCACCCAAACCACCAACACATGCATGCTCACCAAGCTCAACGGCAACATCATGCTCACATGCAAACGCAACCTTTTCTTGCATCAGAAGCGAGAGTCCCAAGGAAGAAGGACCATCGGATATTCCTGGATGGTGGGCGTCCTCGGAAGATTGGCGGGCGTCCTTGGAGGATCCTTGTGCACCGCCATGGCTCACTCTATCTCGATGCTCTCGAGCTCCACCACCTCGCCCCGCGAGTTGTAGATCTTGCCGTCGTCCCCGATGTGCAGCTCCTCGGCTCTCCTCTCTGCTGGGGGCTCCTCGGCTCTCGTCTCGGCTGGGGTTTCCCTGGCCCTTGCATCCACCGGCACACTGGACACTGGTGACCATGGCGGCAGACTGGACACAGGTGACCACTCTGAGGGCGCAGAGGCCCCTCGTCCGGCTGACCTCGGATCCCTCGGCGGCGTGGGAAGCCTCCTCCGCGGCGGTACCGGTGGTGGGGGATTGATCTCCAGGCCTCCTTCCACCTTTATCTGTGGCACCTTTGCTGCACGCGCGGCCTCCACCTTGGCTCGCGCAGGTGGTGTTCTCGGTTGCGGTACCATTGGCGATCCTGGTGGTCCTGGGGGTTCCTTGATGACTTCGGAAATCGTCACCTCCACGAAAGGAATCTCCAGGCCCTTGATTTGCGCAAAGTGGTCCTTGACATGTCTTTCCAATGTCCTCCGCACCGGAGGGCCTTTCTGCTCCTCGGCCTTCTTCTTCATGGCGTTGTTGATGGCCTTCATGAGGTAGCCCTGCTTCTTCTTTTCCCTGGCTCGCTGCGAAAGCATTCTCAGCGCAGTCTCCGTCTGCCCGGGAATCCCGCGCTGGGCCCGGCTCTTCAAGACGATCTTTCGGACCTTGGCTGGCATTGCCTTCACCACGGGCGGCTTGGGCTGCCTCTTCACCAGTGGCTGCGGTGGGTCCTTTGACCCCGAAGACGGCTCCGCCTTTGCTCTGGCCACACTGCCCTTGGGCTTCTTGACCTCTGGGACCTCGATCGCTTCGGCGACCCTCTTCTTGGCCTCTGTGGCTGCCTTCTTCTCTGCCTCCACGGCCTCTGTGGCTGCCTTCTTCTCTGCCTCCGTGGCCTCTGTGGCTGCTTTCTTCTCTGTCTCCGCGGCCTCTGTGGCTGCTTTCTGCTTTGCCTCGGCTTTGGCGGCTCTCTTCTTCTTTGCTTCCTCTGCTTCCTTGGCCCACTGGGCGCTCTCCTGGCGCTCCTTCACGAATTTCTCCGCCGCTGCTTTCGCAGCTGCCTTTGCCTGCTCTGCCGTCTTCTTCTTCACTTCCGCGGCTGGCACCAACAGCAGGTTCTGGCCCGGCGTAAGACCCACCATCGAGGTTGCCGTAAAGGCGATCGTGGATCCCTCGAAATCCTCGTGAGTCCTCGTAACAGTCGCCGCGTGCTGCTCCGCCAGGTGGCGGCGACCCGAAAGGCGCCACTCCTGCTCCGAGTCGGAGGAGGACTCCTCGGGTGCCCGGTTGCCCCTCCTCATCCTTCTTAGAAGGCTTTCCCGACGAAGGAGCGCAGCCGTCACTACGCTTCAAGCTCGCTCGGGCGGCAACTGCAACGGAACGGTCAAGCTCAACAGCACTCGAGAAAACCCATCCGCAATTGGAGACCCATCTCGTGCGAAGAACGTACCCAGCGGCCTCAACTTTAAAACTTGGCAGGAAATCCACAACCCAGCTCTTGCCCAGCAAACGACCTAAGGACAGCAGGTTAAACTTCACAGGAGCAACAAGCACTTGGAGTTCTGTTACCACCGTCTCGCCCGAAACCAAAACGAATGGAACCCTGACAACCGCAGACCTCCGAACTCCAATGCTGTCACCCGTTGCAGAAACACACTCACTGGCAGACTCACTGTGGCTCACAACGTGCACCCGGCTCAAAGTGTCCTCGTTGATGATGTGGGCCGACGCGCCGGAGTCAACGAGCCACCAATCCATGGTGTCATGCTGCTGGCTGGCTGCTGCTGTCTCGTGCGCTACCATGCCATGGTCAGCTCTACCTACCACATGCAACATGTCATGCTCAACGACATTTTGAAAATCTGCAACAAAACGACCTGCTTCCAAGCTCAACTCTGGGGACTCTGCAAGCTCGACTGTGGTTCTGTCTGGGACCTGGTGGGACTCTGCAAGCTTGACTGTGGTTCTGTTTGGGACACCGCGGGACTCTGCAAGCTCAACTGTGGCTCTGTTTGGGTTGTCACAAGGAAAATTCTCAAGCGCAACATGCAACATGGAACCCTCAAGCGCAACAGGCTCACCGCCTTCAAGCACAACAGGCTCCGACCAAGCACACTCATAAGATGCAACGAACTCCTCCCAATCCTCCTGAGAAAAATCCGAGCAATCATCCTCATCAAGCTCAACAACCGGACAACTCAGATCAACCGCAGCTGCGAAAATCTGAGGCTCCAAAGAGGCAGCCGCGACCTGCGGCTCAAGCAAAGCAGCTGCTGATGCTCTTTCCCTCTTGGGCTTGGGACACTTATTCGAGTAGTGCCCGAACTGGTCACAGTTGTAACACTTGACGTTCTTCAAGCGCTCTGCTTTCTCCTTCTCCTTCTCCTTGTCGTTTCCAGAACCTTGCTTGCCGTCCTTTGCGGCTGCAGTCTTCCCCTTGTCCTTGCCTTTGTCCTTTCCACCTTTCCCTTTTTCTTCCTTTCCTTTCTCATTCCCTTTCTTGTTGTCCTTTCCTTTGTCCTTTCCTTTTCCTTTTTCTTCCTTTCCTTTGTCACCCTTCTTGCCCTTTCCCTTGTCTCCGAAGGTCAAAGCATTCGCGTGATCCTTTGCTGCTCCCTTTCCTTCCTTCTCTTGGAAATTCAGGATCTTAAGGTTGGCATCATAAAATTTCAAAGCAGTCTCAAGCTGGTCCATGGAGTCAACCCTAGCATGCAAAAGAACATACTTCTTCACTTCAACATCAAGGTTTCTCAAAACAATCATGCAACGGTCTGCCTCACTCAACGCAAGATCTGGGAACCCTGCGGTCAAGCGGGTAAACTTGGCAAGCTCCAACTGGATATTTCGAAACATGTCAAGTGGACGATTGGCAGGAGTGCTCGCGCGGTACTGCAGGGCCTCATTCCGAAGCGTCGAAGCCTCGATGCGGCTCGCAACAGACAACTCCTGATGCAACCTCCTCATGCACTCGTACCCAGCTGGGGAGCCAAGCTGCTCCTTCTCTACTTGCTTAACCAAGTCAAGCCCACGAGCAAACCCTTGCAACGCTTGCTTCAGGTACAAGAAGGTCCTAGTTGAACGCACGCTCTGTCCCTTTTCAAGCGATGACTGCTTGATGGTGACCTCAGAAGCAATCGATCGATGAAGCTCTTCCGGGATCCTATCATCAAAGAGAGCAATCCACGGCAGGAATTGCTCTAGGAACTCAGCCCATCCTTCGATCTCCGAGCGACGGCCTTTGCTCATCTTTCCACCATCAATCGCAGGCAGCTTAGGAACATAAGCTTCAGCTTTGGGATTCCTGATGGGAGCACCTCCCTCATCAACCTCCATTTTCCCCGACGAATCGGAGATGGAGCTAAGCTCTCCACCGTGGCCCTTGCCTCTCGCAGTAGGTGGCGCAGGCACTTCCCTGCTCACAAGAGCCTGAACTAGAGACGTAAGCTGGGCAACTTGCTGCTGCTGCTGCACCGTCTGGTACAGAAACGTCTCCACGGTGGGCGGTGATGGTGCATTCACTGGCGAAACTCCACCAAACTCTGGCAAACCTGGTAGGGGTGGCAACACACCTCCAAGAGGGTTCGGCGAGCCAGCTGGGCTTCCCACCACCGGGCTTCCGGTTGGATGCATACCCCGTTCCAGAGCCGACAAGTTCGACACCGGACTAAAGGCAGCACCCCGAGGCACACTGCTTGCTCTCGGCCTCTGGTAAGGCGGCGCAGCGTCTGACCTACTATTCCTTCGGATCATACCAGGCTCACCTGGCACATCACCGATGTTGAAGTAGCTTGGCCTGCCACGGCCTTCCATTTCTCACAAGCACAACCAAGCAAACAACACGCCTCGAGTCAACGTATTGGGCTCTTTCTTTTGGTTGCAAGGCAACGAGCGTTCACCACGCTCCGCACCACGTTAAAAACCTACAAGGCGAACAGCCCTTCAGGTTTAAGGACAAGTTCCAAGCACCCTTGCAAGCAAAGCAAGCTCACAACACTCGGACAGTTCACACTTTCAGCACGCACAGCTCACTACTGGTCTCACGTGTCTTGCAAACGACAGTAGTCGTGCCATCTCTTAAAAGCTCCCAAGCACTACAAAACAAGGGAAAACAGGTTGAGGCCACCGCAAAACCGTCACGCAAGCTCAAACTACGTTCTACAGGCACTGACCACCTGAAACTAGCAAAACTGTACAACTATACAGGTACCGAGGAAAACTCTGTGTCACACCTAAAACACCACTGGGCAGAGCACTGGTTTTCTACAGGGTGCGAGCCTCGAACCGCTGCTAGCTTGGCTCGTGCTTGGCACTGCTGCTGCTGGTGCGGGTTCGCTTTCTTTGGCTGTCCCTCTCCTTTCGGGTTTTCGGGTTTAGGCCCTTCCCTTTTCTTAGGAGCCCCCGTGGGCAATCGAGGTGCGCTTTGGCCTCTTGCTGAGTGCGTTTACGCTCTGCTAGAGCTGCTGCTACTGGCCAAGGTTGTCTACGCGCGTGATGCCTCACGCTTTCTTTGACATTTCACGTGGCATCCTCTCTCGACGGCCCTTGTCCTTTTTGGGTTGTTCGGGTTTAGGCTCTGTTCTCTCCCGTAGCTGTGTGTATTAGGCGTGCGCTTGGCGCAACTGAGAGCGGCACTGCTCTGCCTTTCTGGTCTGGCGCTGCTGCTGCTGGTTGGGCTGCTGGCTCACCCTATTTGTAGCTCTGCTGCTCCGAGCTTTTTGACCTGACTCGTAGCTTTGCTGCTCAGGTCATGTCATTTCGAGCTTTATTCCGAACTGTAGCTTGCTGCTCGGAATGTTTCCGGATGCGATTGCGTAGCAAATCTGATACATCCAATTCGTTGCTTTTCACACGAGGAGGTACATGTCAGACGGACTGCGGCTTCCTGACTTCCCTCCCATTCGACGTGTGGCGAAGGCTCTCTTTATCCTCGTCTTGCAAGGTGGACGTGTCCATCGGAGTGAGTTTTTGAGAATCTGAGTTTTGTTTTCGAGTGCCTTTATCACGAAAACATTTTCTGTTTTCACAGAGCTTTGTCATTTAATTTCACGTGGGGGGGTTTGGCACACGGGTTTTCCTTTTCTCACTTTGCATCTCTTTACGAAGATGCCTTGAGAATCCATGTCGTGTGCCTGTAGTCGTGTGGCTCTGCTGCAGTCACCGTGAAATTTTCTTGAAACTCTGGGGCCTTGTAAGATCCGCTAGCATAGTGTGAGTTCCGGGCCTGATTGCTGGCACTCCCGCGAGGGAAGTGGTGAGTAACCCTGAGCGCGAGTTCGGGTGAAAGCTGCAAGCGGAGTGAGTTGTCGGATAGGGCTGGCGGACACTCCACGACACGTCTAGTGGTGTACGGGTTCCTCTAGAGGCCTTCTTTTACTTGAGGCTTCTGGCGAGCTGCTGCATGGAGGCGAATTCAGTCCCGGCGGGCTGATACATTATGTCTTCTGCAGGCGCTGCTGCCGAGGCATCAGTCGATTCGGGGGGTGCTCCTTCCGAAGCCAGTTCCGAGGTCTTTCTTATCTTGGGATTGTTTACCGAGGAAGGTCCGATTTGCGATCAGCAAGGATGGGACACAGCCAGGCTCTTCACTGCTTGCAACCTTATTTGTGGATGAGCGGGATTTATCTGCTTTTCTGGAAAAGTTGGGTTTTGCTTCTGGATCTGTGGGGTGGTTGTCCTGCCTACGCATTCTGGTGCACCTTACAGATGACGCGAATGGTCAGGCCAGCAGAGCCTGGAGAGCTCGTGCAATGCAAGGGCTACATCAGATTCATCATGTCGGGTCACCCTTGAAGGATCTGTTTCAGGCGGCTCCTCCTTCACATGAGTGGCTTGCAACGAAGTCGGGGGCCAAACGGCTTCTTCTTCGTTGGCCTACTAGGAGGGATAAGGAGCTTGCTCTTTCTTCTGAGTCTCATTCGAGGGCCCGTGTTGAGGCCTCAGAGTTGAACCGATGAGGACTCGGCTTGTTTCTGCATTGAAGGAGTGCCGAATGCCTGTATGTTCTCATGCCGCGTTTGCTACAGATCCTGACAAGATCCTCTTAACCAGTTCGGGCAACGTTCGTTCTTCCACTCTCAGGTCCCGCATTCGCGAATGGGGGAAGTTTTCAGCATGGTGCATGGCCACTGAGGGGCGACCTTTTCCGTCTCATGTTGGTCTTTTGCTGGATTACATTGAGGAGCTTCGGGAGCAGCCTTGCGCCAAGACTCGCCTCAAGTCAGTGCTTTCTGCCACTGCCTTCTTTGAAAAGGCGGGAGGCATCAGGAGAGAAGCGACCATGTCGCTACAGCCGATCGTCTTGAATTTGGTCAACACGCGCACCGCGGAGCTGGAGGTCGGGGCTCCTCCTACCAGGAGAGCAGTTCCACTACCGATCTTCGTTGTAATCTCGCTGGAACTGATGATTTCTTCAGTGGATGTTCCGAAGTATCTGCGTGCTTATGCGTGGATCAAGTTGTTCAAATTTTGGACATCGAGCAGATCTGACGACCTTCAGGGGGCCTCCTTTGATTCCATGGTTCTTTCGGAGTCGGGTCTCAGGGGACATTTTGACAGAACCAAGACAAGTGGGGCAGGGAGGAAGGTGCGCTTTCTCCCTTTCTTCGTCTCGGCTGATGCTTGGCTGGCTAACAAGGATTGGCTCAGGCAGGGCTTCAAGATTTGGAGGGGAGCTGAGTTTGGCTTTAAGCGGGACTACATGGTCCCGCGCCCCACCCGCAATCTTCAGGGCTGCAGGCCGGTGCTGGCTTCGTACAACGATTTGGCGGCGATGTCGAGGCTGGTGCTGGCTTCATTGAGGTCTCCTGCATGTTATGAGGGGGATTGGTTTCTCTCGGACGCTAAGCTTTTGGATGCTGAACTGATCAGAGTTTTCACTGAACATTCAGAGAGAAGCTGCATGTCTACTTTGGCGGCTTGGGCTGGGATCGACCGTGAGAGGAGAGACTATCTTGGACGGTGGCATATCGTGGAAGCCGCTGATGTGTATGTGAGATCCGCATGGAAAGTGGTCAGCTCACTGCAGGCATTTGTCGTGTATGCGCTTGCAACTGCAATCGAACTCTGCAAGGTCGGGGTTAGTGAAGCTCAGGAGCGGCTTCAGGACAACGGTTGCGGAGAGGAAGCTGCGAGGGGCTTATCCGAGTCCTTGCTTACTCCTGCCTCTTGGATGGGATGGAGATTGTCCTTTATTAGCAGTCGCCCAACTTTGCCTATGGTCGATCGCCCGGCACCGGCGGCTGATCCGGGACCTGCTGCGCAGGACTTTAAATTCTTTGTGGCTGTTTTGGGCAAGAGGTCGCTTCGACGACTTCATCGAAAGGGCGGCTGCGGGACCAAACCAAGTGATCTGATCCGTTGCGAGTTTTACGACTCCTTAGAGGGGGTCGAGTATGATACTGAGTGCAAGCACTGTTTCAAGCCGGAACCCTCAGCAGTGATTCCTTCCGAGGAGGCTGAGGCTTCAGATGAAGGCTCGTCGAGCACATCGCTCGAGGATCATTCCGACAGTAGCAGCTCCAGTACCTGAGAGTGGGACTGGGTCGCCTGTGACAAGAAGGCTGCACCGAGCTATCGTGGGGCTGTGTCGGTGATCTTATCGTGTGTTTTACATTTCTTTGGAGCCTTTGTAGGCTGGGGTCGTTTGTGGAGATTTTATTCCGCGATTCAACATGCTGGTTGCATGTCGTGGTGTCAAGATGTTGATTCGTGGAAATTACATTCCATGGTTCAACATGCGGATTGGAAGTCGTGCTTATCGACTTTGATCGGGGAAGTTTCCTCGGTTGTGATTGTCTTGTTCGCTGCACAATGCATCATCGGATGGAGTTGGAAACAAAGACTTCGTGTGCGCAGCTTGATCGGTTGTGCAATTGCACAGGAACCGATCAGACAGAAGGGGGCCGGTCTGGTCAACTTCGGATGGGCCCAAGCTAGATTGTTCTGGACCCAATGACGCCCGAGCAGCTTGCAAATCTGGAGCGCCTGACTACCGATCTCCGGTTCCACCTGGATCAGGCTGAGGTGGAACCAAAGTGGCAGGCTCGATTTGGGGCCTTGGGGATCATTTCGATCCCCTTATTTGCCGGGCTTGATGAGGACCGCGAAAAGGTGCGGGGGGCCCTGGCTGCTGACCTCCCTTTACCGTATCAGGACGGCGTCGCCCAAAGGCTGGAGATGGCTGGCATCCTCAGTGCATGGGAGGCTGTGAAACTTCATCTGGAGGTCAGTGAGAAGAATCGCGCGGAAGCTCGATTGGGCACCCAGCAGAGGTTGCTGCAACCTAATGAGCAGCACAGCATGAGAGTGGCTGTCGAGACAGTCCTGGGAAAGCTCAAGGACAAAGAGGTGCCCTCGCGTTCGCTTTTGGCTGCGAAGCTGGAGCAGATCGAATCAAATCAACCAATCGTTGAAAACCTTCAAGAAGTCGCTTCATTGGAGGATAGTGAACTCGAGACTTATTCGGCGGTCATCGATCCGATGACGAATGTCTTGAAGGTGAAGCCGGGCAAAACCTTAACCTCTTTGCCTCAAACTCCCGAGGAGCTGCGACTTCGTCACCGGCGCATCGGCTTAGCTTGGGACTTCTTGGCTACCAAGCACTCGAGCCGCCCTTGGCTTTCGAGGAACCTGACTGATATCTTCAGGCGCTTCAGTGACTACATCCTCGGGTCGCAGGTGGCAGGATTGCTTACTGGTGACGGCCGCAAGCCCACTTGGTCTTTGATCCTGCAGTTCGAACATGAGGCCCGGAAGGCGGCGTACAAGTGGCTGAGGGATGGTGAGGTGCCAACTCTCGAAGCTGCCTTCAG